TCTCATGATAATATGTGGCAGCAAAGAGAAACAGCTAACTGAATGCCCAATCAAATCCTGATAAGATGACTGAGTATCTTTATGCAAAACTTCATAAAAGAACTTTAGATACTGAACGTCTGAACCATGTAAACAAGGGAAGGAGGGAAAAGGAAAAGGAAAAGGAAAAGTTAGTCTAGTGCATGACAGGAGATCTTGACATTTAGTATAGAGGAACACAAATATCATATTTATATAAGAACATAAATCTGACCTCATCAGGTTTCAGCGCCGGGAAATAACCCAGGTACTTCATTGTTGCTGGTTCATAGCACTGAACTTTGTCCGTATGCCTTCTCGAGGGAATCTAAATGAGCAAAATTAAGTGTGATAATATACAAGTGTCACATTCTTTCACTTTACGGAATGAACCATATAAAGTTCCACAAAAAATAAGAGAGCAAAGTCCATTTGAATAACTAAACGGACATACATACTACAGTAAATCTCAAACTGTGGCATCGGACTTGTTCTCCTAAAGAGAAATGCTTTCTTGATAGCGTAAGTGAGTTGGAAGCGAGAGGAACTACTCTCAGTAAGATGTGAGTTGACAAACTACATAAAACTCATATTCTTGAACGGAAATGTTTTTGCAGTAACTTTTAACATTTGGTTATCTCGAATTTGAGACAATGTTTTGTCGAAAAAGTTAGTTTCATTGAGAGAAGAAAATTGACTTCATAAACTTATGGATGGAACTCATTTTCTTTAAATAAAATATCCCCATTCTAATCTTAGTTCCATTGAGAGAAGAAAATTGACTTCATAAACTTATGGATGGAACTCATTTTCTTTAATAAAATATCCCCATTCTAATACTCTCTGTATGGTTGATGCAAGAGATATGTAGCAAGAATGGGGATATTTGAGCTCATTCATTCTCAAATATCCCCATTCTTGCTACATATCTCTTGCATCAACCATCAATAAGGTATTTTTGTCAAAATTAAGCTACCACCAAAACACAATCATCACATTCTCTCTCTTTTCTTTTCTTTTGTTTAAAAGGTTATGTCTTGGCCAGCTTGTGCACGCACAACTTGGTTAATCCACCATATATTTTCTACCTTCTCACAAGTACTATACCATGTAAACTCAAGCAACCAAGGTTTAAAAAGATAAGAATAATTCATCTAGCATAGCTTATGTTGGGACTTCAATCTTGCCTCCCAAGGTTGTCTCAACCGTTAGCTACCCCCTAAGGGGCAATTCAATCCTCATACTCTATCTACCACCTTGTATGATAGTATGATAATAATAATAATAATAATAATAATATCACCTGCTTTTTTACTCAATTTGACATTGTAAAATGTTTAAGTAAATAATCACTAGTGTATGATTTCTAATGTAAAACACTTTCCACATACCTCTAATGGAAATTCAAATTGTTTTCTGCAATTCAGTAAGTATCTATATTATATAGCTAAGTGCCTCTTCATAAAGAAAGATACTACTAAAAGAGAGTTGATGAAATCCAACTAGTGAAATTTCGAACACAAAAAGGGAAAAAAAAAGAAACAAAAACAAGCAAAATACAAACTGATACCATCTACAGTTCAAATCAACATCATATAAAAGTACCAAATTCCATTTAAGCAAGTAGGAATTTCATTCATTACTTACATAAATGAAGCTGTTGTCTTTTGCCTGATTCCCATCATCCAACACTACAATACCAAAAACATTATTAAACAACCAACAATGTAATAGATTCAAGAATATCAACAATGTAATACCATAAGGAGTACAAGTACAACAACACCATACCGGGAGGATAGAGTGTACACATACCTTACCCCAACAAAAGTAGAGAGGCTATTTCCAATAGACCCTCAGCTCAAAGGGAACAATAGTTCAAAGAAGTCTAATACCACAAGGAGTAAAAAAATAGCAAATCATCTATTCACTCTGTCCCAATTTATGTGACACCTTCTACTTTCCGAGATTCAAACTATGTCAACTTAACCATCATTTCAACATGCACTTTTCATCATGAGAAGAATGTCAACTTAAATTATCTAATTTTTTCCAAAATACTGAGCTGATCTAATCTAAATTAGATTATACCATAAGGAGTTAATTTTTTGTTAAATAAATCAATTAATCTACACCTTCTACTTTCCGAAACTCAAACTATGTCAACTTTAACCATCATTTCAACATGCAGTTTTCATCATGATAAATTATAATTCTAAAATATTGAGTTCAACTAATCTAATCAAATTTAGCTTCGATAAGCTAAAAATGTAACATAAATTGGAACTGAATAAATTACTACTACAACATTTCAATAAGCAATTTAAAAGTAGTTCAAACAGCAAAATTCGTATGGAAGCTTACCATCAGAAGTGTCGACATCAATGGAAGGGACATTGTCAGGAATGAGCATCAACAGTAATTTACAGATCGCAAATGCGATAGCGATAACAATCAACGGCCACCAGAACGCCATTAGAAGGTTTCTAGAAGCTTCGAAGAAGACTAATTAGGGTTTTTCACACAACTCTTAGAAGGAATTTGAAGGAATCGCCATAGCCATAAGAGAGGAGAGATTCTGAGTTCCTCGTAGACGTCGCTTTTTCAGTCTTCTATTAAATAAAAAAAAGATAAATCAGTGGCGGTCTAAAAGTTGATTTGCACACATTTTAAATATTGATATTTTTTTTATGGCTGGTTTGGCCGATTGTACTGTTTAACTTGACTTTATTTCATAGCGTGAACAAATAGACATATACGACTTTATTTCATAACGTGTGAACAAATAGACATATACGTCCAGTATTTTAAAAGACTTTGTTAGGACTCGCCTCAGGGCTTTAGCAAAACGCCCCGAGACTCAAGTGTGGGGCTTACATCGGGATTAAAATAAACTGCAAAAGCAACTAAGAAAAGTAGCATCGATAGAACGGGGGATCGCAGCTTCAGCGAAGAAATAAGGTGACCAGCCCTAACCCTTCATTCTATTCCATACAGCCTGTAAGACTTACGCCCTAAGCGTCCGACTGTACGCCATAAGCACATTCAACGCTCGAGGCTCGCCGTATAGATCTTACACAAATCATGTGTTAGAAACTTTAGTTAACATTGTTGACCCTCATAATTCTTGAATAAATGAATAATACTTAATAATTTTTTAATTTATAGAGATAAGAAGATCGAGAGTAACTCAACTAACAAGTTGTAGTACATAACATTTCTGTGAAGGGTGATGATTTAGTACATAACATTTCTTTTAAAAATACGTAGCGAAGTTTTACTTTTCCACTTATCATTGGTTTTCATGGTTTTGCCATATGTCTCAAAATTATCATATTTTATTTAGCTATTTGAAAGTGATTTTATTTTTATTCATGATGGAGTGATGTTTTTATTATAATAGTAGTATTTTTTATTGATTATTTTCTTATTCTTCTTTTTTTTTCTTGGGGGGGGGGGGGGAGGGGGGGGGGGTTAAGGTAAATTATATAGTATGATAAAAATATTTTTAGAAATAAAGATTCTTTTATTATAAAAAGTTAAGATATTAGATTATTTATACTTGTATAATCATATTAGAAGTTTTATTTTCTATGAGTTTTCTTAATCATGTTTGTAATTATTTCAAACTATTGATGTTTTTTTTTAAATAATTTCGTGTTATTATATTATTATACTATATTGTAAATTGAAATTTTAAAGATCCATAGGGCTTACGCCTCGCCCTATACTAAATAAAACGCCCCGCCTCATGCCCCCGCTTTTTAAAACACTGTAAACGTCCTACGTGACATAATCTACGTTTATTGTTTCATTTTGGCATAAAACATAAATATGCTATTTAACTGGATTTCATCTCACATTTATGTCCTTTAATTTTGGGTGTGCACAAGTAGACACTTAAACTTGTATAAAATTGAACGAATAGACACACCCGTCTTACGTGACATAATACATGTAGGACATTTTGCATCCTATGTGGATTATGTTATATGTGATGTGTGTATTTATTTGTTCGACTTTATATAAATTCAAGTGTCTACCTGTGATTATTCAAAATTGAAGGACGTAGATATTAATTACGGCCAAGTTAAAAGACATATTTATCTCTTATGCCTATTTTTTTTTTTTTATCATTTACCCTGAAACTTGATATAATAAAAGACATGAATACACTTTCTATTAGCACATAAATATTATTTATGTTTCTTTAATGTGCTTCAATAATGATCACTACGGGTTAAATGGCCGTTCGATGCATAAAATATTTGTGTTTGTTGGGTCTGGAGAAGAGTCACATTCCGAAAGGTGTGTTATAGATATTCTATCCTAATACAAACATCAATGACTACTTCCACATCTAAATCCATAACCTATAGGTCAGAAACAATTCTATCGTTGCTCCAAATCTCCTGAGGAAAGGTAAATTTCAGAGAGCATTGTCAGAATCTAAGAATGTTTATATTCTTTTGGTAATACTCAAATATTGTTGTAAAATATTCCTATATTCTGATAAAAGTAATTAATACATAGTTTTTCTTTGCCAACAATACTTTGCTTTCTGACAAAACAATGCTTCTCTCAAAATAAAGTAAACAAATAATGACTTCTCCTACATGTTCAACTCATAAAAAGATACAAGTTTCTCTCATGTTATACACATTTATAACACCTATCAATCATCAAATATTTCTACATTTTATGGTTTTTGTCATCAACAACAGATTCTGATTTACATTTATCTGGTAACTTCATTTCACCTCTTACATCCTATAGACGTAGTGGATTATAAAAAGCAGAATGCACTGACTCTAAATCTTGAATTCGTCCTTGCTTAGCGTGATTGTTGGAGGTGAAGTAGTACAAATTTGAGGTTTTTGACTTGTTTTTTTCCTTGTTTTTGCAGTCATTTAAAAAGTTTAATGAAGTAAGGCTTTTGGAGGCTTTGGAGGGAGCCAATTCTACTCATGTCTCAAGGAAAGATGAAGGAAGGAGATATATCTTACACAAATGTCAAGAGAAATGATGATGAATTACGCGATATCGTGCCAGAAGTAGAAGATCTTGCACAATCAATTGATGAAAAGATGAAAAATGTCTCAAGTTTTCGACGTTTCAACAGAGTTCCTCAAGAACTTAAAAAGGGAAGTGAATATAGTTACTCTCCTAAATTAGTCTCAATAGGTCCTTTTCATCATGGAGTTGATAACCTTAAAACTATGGAGGAACATAAGTGGTGTTATCTCAACACACTTGTTAGTAGAAAACCAATAAACACACAAACCATTTTAGATAATTGTGTGAAAACACTTAGAAATTTAGAGGATAAAGCAAGAAAATGCTATGGTGAAAACACATTTGAACAAATTGGAAGTAATGAGTTTGTTCAAATGATGTTACTTGATAGTTGTTTTCTCATTGAGCTCTTTATCAAGTTTGTTATAAAGGGTTTTCGACGTAGAGATGATATACTCTTTATCAACTACGACATGTTTTTCCGTCTTAGATGTGACTTGATTCTACTCGAAAATCAGATCCCATTCTTTATCCTTCACCAAATGTTCAACTTAGTTCCAATTCCTAAAGAATGTACTTACTCCCTCATGCAACTTGCTTTACTCTTCTTTAGAAAACTGATTCCTGGTGATGGACTTGTAACTATACAGAAATTTGGTCCTAATGTTCACCATATACTGGACTTGATTCATCATTGTTATCTTCCAACGAGTCCACAAGTTCACTCGAATGGAACACAAAAACATATGCACAATGTGTTACATCTTCATGATGTAGGGATCAAGTTCAAGAAAGCCATAAGTGATAGTGTCATGAATGTAAGATTCACTAAAGACAGAGTTTTGGAAATTCCATCATTGAAAATACATAGCTACTCTGAGATTTTGTTCAAGAATATGGTGGCATTGGAGCAATGTGGAACCTTTAGAAGTGGAACAAAGCACATTGCGTCTTACGTTTACCTCATGAAAAGTTTTGTAAGGTCTGCAGATGATGCAAGTTATTTGACAGATAGAGAGATTTTGGATAGCAGTTTGTATAATGATGATGAGATTTTTCAACTGATGATGAGGCTTCATGTGGAGTTTGATGTCAAGGATTTTTATTATAGTGGAATTTGTGAGAAAGTTAATGGATATAAGAAGAAAAATAAGTGGAAAAAATGCAGCCAGAAAATTAGCAATGTATATAAGAAGACTGCCAAAGGAATTTCATGCTAACATTTTTTTTTCTTTAGTAGTTTTATGTTTTTGCTGCAATTTTAGTTTCTTTTGTTTGCATTTTTATTGCACCATGCTTGGGAAATTATTATATGGAGATTCGAAATTATATCTATATATGCTTGTTTGTTTTATTACTATATTCAAAGTCAAAACTTTACTGTATTCAAAGACAAACCTCTTTATAACTACGTCATTTGTCCATATATGTTTTGGCCTTTTCTTCTTGTTGCTTCTGCATCCTTTTCATTTTTCATTCTCCCATATATGTTTTGGCCTTTTCTTCTTGTTGCTTCTGCATCCTTTTCATTTTTCATTCTCTTTAGGGCCTATCGAAAACAATCACTCTTCAAAGGTAAGGTAAGAACTACTCTACCTTCCCCAGACACTAAATTTGTTGTTGTTATAGCAAATGAACATATAATATAACATAACATAAAAATCAGTTCACAAAAAAGCTTGACCATTATGCGAAGATGTTGTTAGATATGAAAAATTGTTATAGGGAAATCCGACTGTATTACTCTTTTACTCGAACAACATACATACATGGTTTTGAGTATTACTAATAAAAAAAACAGTCGATGTCAAACTGAATTTCTTTGCTTCATCTTAACTTGTTCACATCTTCAGAGAAAAGACAATTGTTTTTCTATACAATAACACTATGAAAATAATATCTGGTAAATCATGTTTACACATTGGACAATCTTTATAATCGATGTCACAATAGCAAAAGGATAAATATACTACATTTTTTCTGCATAAGTTGGCTGAAAGTGAAGTAAATTGCCCCTGTTGAACTCCATAATTACTGCTGGCAGATTTACGATTCATCCATAAAGACAGCACCGTGTCCATTAGCTTTCATGAATTTCTTAATCAGAAGTGCAAGTATAGCGATTGTAAATCCAACTGCTGCCCATGTGAAGAAACGGTCATCAGCCTGCCTCGGAATGCTCTGTTGAGGTGTATGCAATATTCGATGCTCATTAGGCCGTACAGCAGGGGCTCTATAGGTGCCTGTACAGGATCAGCATCTAAAGCCAATTCACGTCTTTCTTCAGTAGTTGTGTCAGCAACAGATGGATTAGGACGTCTTTCTTCAGTAGCTTCATTGCTGGGGTTCTCAGGACTCTCTTGAACCTCATCCTCTCTATTACTGTTCTGTTCTTCAGGAGCTGGTGAGGTAGTAGCTTGAGGAACTGGTGGTGCTTTGCTTAGCATGTAATCATGTATCTATAAAATAAACCAACTATTAATTCTCATGCCCACAGATAACAACATATTGGCTGTCAAAATGATATTCAGATAATGATATACCTCGTCAATCAGCTTCTGGCGCTCAGGAGTCCCATATCTTGGAGCCACATCACGAGATTTAATAGCTAAAACACGCCTTTCTTCCTTTGTGTATTCTAGTGATCCAAGGGCACCATTTGGGCTGGTAGGCATAAATGCGATCAGAGCTACCAAAGCAGTGCGAACTGCAAATCAAAAGTAAAACAATTAAATACAAATTAGCTTCAGTAGCTGTGCACCTGACAAAACATGGGAAGCAGCATCCATTAATTCAGAAGACTATACCATGCAGTAGCTTGATCCACCGAAAAATGCTCCTCTCTAGTCAATACAACTAAGGAATAATAATTGCAAAAAAAGGTTGCTCACACTTTACTTTTTGATTTGAAATTTTTGCCTACTACAGTATCTGCATTTTTGTTTTGCTCAAGTACAGTACACCAGCAGCCATTATTAAAAATTTTAGTGCACGTATTCAATCATATCTTCTATCTTTTACATCCATCAACACAACCTCATGCTATATTTCAATAATATAGACTCAGCTAAATACAGCCACAAGTTAAAAGCAATGGAGCATATAATTTTCGAGGGAAATTTCCAACTCATGCAGATGAAGATATCTTTTTATGTCCTAACATGTCATTGCCTAAAATTGCAACAAGAGGAACTGTTCTATTGCTTTCACGTAAACAGGGTATCTGTCAATATATCCCAAGAAAAGAACACTAAGGCAACGATATGAAAGTGAAATTCATCAAAATATAACACATTGGGAAAAATGGTAAGAGAGAATGATAAAGTTACCACTCCATGACGGTTGCCAGTGCTCAGGATGATGATTAGAAATACTCAAACAAATCTTGGTTTGAGTTTCAAAACGTCCATTTGGCTGAAAAGAGCAAAACCATGAGTTAGTAGATTATTAATATTAAACATGAAATGAATCAACTCTAAACCTAGATGCTAATGAAATTTGGCTTCTCCAGTCTGTAGCCTGACCCACCCACAAAACAGACTCCTTTTTGCCCCCACCAAACCAATAATCCCATCTATTCTCTTTCAGTTTGTTAATCCACGAACCTTTTGTTTTCCTTCTCCAACCTTTTTAGCTACCCTCCTGAACGAATTTGTGTAGCAAGGGAGGGGGGAGGGGGGCTTGGGTCACACCTCAAAACTTATTCAAGATTTGCACATGGAGCAAAGCAACAACTTCCTTCAGACTCGAGTCAGATCTTATCGTATGGTAAAAACTTTCCTAAGATATTCTGACTTTCCACTTGAATTAGAAATCTCTTAGCCTCTTTTTTCCCATGATACCTTTTTTTCACATCAAAACTTATTAGCACCCTGCCCGGCCCAATCTGTAAAGTCTGCTTGTCGCAGTGTGGGGTTTAACCGACAAAGCTCGTGCCTCGCCCTATTCCAATTACTAAACCTTGTTCCATAAAATGACTCAAGGAGTAAGACAAGCTTTAAAAATAGAAAGAAACTCACTGTCAAAAGCATGAAAGAAGGAGGCTTGAAAGGATATTCGGCTGGCAACTGGATTCGTCCATGATAAATCCCCCGTTCAAACTCAGAATCTCGTGGACCCCTGATTGCAAATTGCCATTCAAATATGTTCTCCTGAAAAAGTAATATAAAGTTCAGTTTTAAATTGCTATGTCGTTGTGCAAGTCCTAGAATTAAAAGTAACTTGTAAATGGAAGACAACCAGTCATTTATCAATAGAATTTCATGCAAGACGCAATCTTTTGAAAGTTATATTGACAGAATCAATTATGATGAAATTCATTTACCAGTGATGGATTCAAGATCATATATACACATGTTACCTCATAGGAATAGAAGGAAAATGCCCAAAAATCAAATCTTGACCATGTATACACAACACCACATAGACATCAAACAGACTAGAAGAGCACATAGATCATTCATTGTTAGTGAGGTTTATTCTTCAGCAGGATCAACTAATATCCTTGACATATGAACTTAGATCATAAAACTTTATCGAAGCTTAAGAGTTTTATATCATGAGCATTCTTATATAGAACCACTATCATATTAAATACTAGAAATCAATGGTTGCTGCCTTGTCCAATTTTCAATTTCTTTTATTTTGTTAGCAGTAAATACAGCAAACAAGCTTTTGCCAAACAGTTTCAAATTTTAAAACTTGTACATCCATGCAGGAAAAATCGCATCAAGGAAACAGCTTCCCTACCAATGCAGTAAACCATCACTTCCATAGCAAAAAAGAAAGCAAGTACACCCCCGCCTCCCCACCACTCGCGACAAAGCAAATTAGCTATACCCTCTTACCTTGAATACCAACTAACCACACACCCTATTTACATCTACACTCATACAAGCAGACAAATTCTCCAATGTATTGGACATTTCTTGCTTATCCCAGTATATTTGACTAACTTTCAAATGGATCCAGCAAATTTACCTACATCCACTTGTTTCACAGTTTTAGCTAATGGCAAGTGAATTAGACTAATTTTCTGAGCTTAATCAAACTACATTAATCCTCAATTCTTCAAATTAACACATATAATTTGCAATTCACCTAAAAAGTTAAATCTTTTTAATAAATTTGAATCTCACAAAGAAAAAAATGCACCACATTAAAATTCTAGATCCAAACAGATAAAACATGAAAGGATAAGATCGATTTCATAAGAAAAAAAGGAAAATTAAGGAATTAAATTGAAACCTCAAGAGGAAGACTCATGAAATCATCGGAAGGGTTTGATTGCATCTCTTTAACCTCCTGTAAGATTCTCTTCACCGCTGGATTTTTCAGATTATACTTGTCTTCCGCCATATCTATTACTCTGAGCCGCTGCCACTGTCGTCGCCGCCGTCTCCGGTCACCGTAAACCCACAGCCGGTCAAAAAAGTAGCACCGATAATGATGAATATGAAGAAAAAAAATTGGTGGGTGAGAATATAATATAATAAATATAAAGAAAGTGAAGATGCGGGTGACGTGGCGACTAATTATTGGATAAAATGACAAAATCTTAATGAATTGTTTTAGTAATAATAATTCATGATTATGAAAGATTAATATATTGACTAGAAGGGATGGATTTATAGCTTACCCCTCACGCTTATCGAAGTTATGCTCGAAAACTTCGTCTAAGGAATATTATAGAGAGAATTTTATTTATAGCTTACCCCTCTCGCTTATCGAATTTATGCTCAAAAACTTCGTCTAAGGAATATTATAGAGAGAATTTTATGTGTTACGATAAATTCTTTTATACCAATTTAGTTGTTAGAGGCTCCTTCAACGTGACAGTTAGTACTATACTGTAGATTACCCTAACTTACTTTTCCTTTACTAGGATTGACTCTTTATAATTCTCAATTTAGTATTTATGATAGAAGAAAATCGAACAAATCTCATGACATTTACGATTGAAAATTTTGAAACATTACTTGAAAAGCATAGTCACAAACTATCGAATATCAATCATTATTCCTTAAAAGGCGTACAAACTTAATTAAAAGATTCATGATCCCATTAGTTGAAATGCAAAGTATGAAACACCTGATATTGAATTCTCAAATTGGGGATTTGTAATCTTGTTTCCTATGGGTAAGCCTCGAAAAGAGGAATGGGACACAAAAAGACAAACTTGTGGAGAACTTCACCATCTAGAAAAAGAAGTCTTCTAAAACTCCAAAAAATAAATTTAAAAAGATGTGGCTATCCAAAAACATTAATATTGACCCTTTTAATGTGAGACTAAAAGACACCAATGACCAAAATCAACCAACACACATCTCCATCATGTTTTACTACACAAGAAAGAAAGAAATTAAGCAACCAAGAGAGAGGAATGGAAAAAAGGGCAAGACCTTAAACAACATTACATAGTCATACAAGTTAAGTCTGAAAAGAATGAGATGTATGCAAATCTTATTTTTATCTTTGCAGGCTAAAGAGGTTTCAAAAAAGGCAAAAAGTTTACCTACACGTAATGAAGTTCTATTTATCTGTCCTAATTCTTTCTTTCAAATAACTAAAAACCTTGAAGCTATTGAGGTACAACAACGTTCCAGTATGATCCCACAAGTGAGATCTACTAGATACACAAACCTCATATCTACCTTGTGTGAGGCAAAAGATGTTTCCGATAAACCCTAGACTCAAGAGAAGTGTTTTCAAAAACAAGTTTGACAAATACAATATAAAGTCATGGTGAAAATACTATAGAAAGTTGTTGAGATACAAAAGAGAGAAAACCCACCGGACTTCATAAGTAGAGTAGCAAAGAGATGGGAGGGGGGTAAAAAGAAGCCAAGTGAGCTACCACCGTAAATCTAATGTACATGTATGCAGTAAATGTTAATTGTCCCACTCAAATATACAATTAAGCAACATTGAAACAGAAAATTTGGCCTCAAGCAACACTGACCTCTCTAAATTGAAGAATAAACCTTTCAAGGGCAAAAGTTGGTGCCCTATACATTGCATACAAGTGCACATAACTAAGGAAAGTGAAGATGGAGTTGGGGGTAGAGATGAAACCAAAGAATAGGAGTAACCAAAATTCTATATCTATGTAATGTTTTACAGGAGCAATTGGAAATGCTAAACGAAAGAGAAAACTCAAGACGGTGGCTAATCTCTCCCCACGCTTGTAACAACACTGTACAGACTCCCCTCCACCAATAGTTACGAAATTCAACAATCGAATTGCCTGTTAGATCATCACTCATGTCGAAGTTGTACAGAGGTGTCATTTGAAGCAAAGCACATGCTCAAGCAATATCTTGTAGATCATTGTAGGAGTCAAAATGCCATGATGATCTCAGAAGAGTCATGATCCATTTACAGCCATTTCAGGTGATGATTTTGGAGGTATTAATGGATAGTCCTCTCCTCTCTGCCTATTATCAGGAGAAGTGTGCATGCTTTCAGAATAACTTTTAGGACCATTTGGTTCTCGGTGGTCATGATTATCCAAATCAGCACTCCCATTATCAGTAGAATTCCCTTTCTCCTCGTGGTTGGACTCGACAGATTTCTCATCCCCATCTGAGCATGGACCATCTTGTACTGTACTATCCATCTTTTTAGAGGGTAAAACTGCTTGACTTAAGGTTGAGCATAAAGCAGCAAAAACACTGTCTCGAGACTTTGAACCTTTAGCAATACGCTGCAACCTTTTTGGCTCAGGCTCTTCTATCTGCAACAGCTTACGTTTCAACGGGAAAGACTCTACTGACCCATCTTCATCAGAATTATCTGACTGCTTCCTAGGTGGTGGCTTATAATCTTCATCATCCTCATCATCATCATAATCAACAAGCCCCCCAGATCTAAAGAACAGGAGTCTCAAAATATGTTCCCTTAGTTTAATAAATCCAGATTCCAGTAGTAACAGTTACTTACCTCACAGGTGAGACGCTTGGAGCAGATCCATTAGGCAAGGCCGGCAGAGACTGCGCTCTATTTGCATTAGTCACGAATGCTGAGGCAGAATCTTCCTCGTCACTGAAGGATACACATATTCAGTGTACCATATATAACATTTTTACATGCAAAAAAGTAAAGGCCTACCTCTCTTCATTGAAATATTCTTCTTCTTCTTTCTCTAAACCACGGTCTTCAACTCGTTTCCTAGGGTCGTCTAATAGATTGCCGATACTTCTCGTTCCTGCACTGTCTAGAGACTACAAAAGACCCAAAACCATTATGAGAGCCAAGTATCACTATCAAGAGTGTAATGGTGAACAACAGGCCCAATGAATAATACCTGCTCATATTTAATTTTCAATGAGTGGATCGATGTCAACTTTTCAAACTTGACCAGCTCATCCCAGAATGAGTCGACTAAATACTTGAGCAATATCTTCAAGTTATCCTGCATTATATCATGTCAGATCCTATGAAATAAAGAAGCCATGTCACATTTAACTTTTGCAGTCTAAGCAGGTCAAGGAAGTAAGATGCAACCTTACGAATATGCTCAAAAAGTTCAAGAACAGCTGAGTTTAGAAGATTGTAGCGATCTCCATTAGCAACAAAGACATCAACAACAGGTTTTAGGAGATTGTGCTTTGCTATGTAGTTCATCAAATTCTCATCCTGCAGTTCGTAGTCGGAAGAATTTTAATATATTCACAAATATACAGAAGGGAAACACTCAATGATGAACATAAAAATATACTTCACAGTTCAGTCTGCCAAATTAGTAGCTTATTAGCGGCAATGTGAAATGACACAAGAAGAAGAGAGAGAAAACTCTAGCCGAAATTGGTTGGTTATACATGAAAAGAGGAAAATCAACTCATGGTTAACCATGTTTTTGTGTACGTAGTTTGCATCTCCTTGATGCCTTTCTAATACAACATCTTACTTCATAAAAAAAAAAACTCAATCATAGTGAACTTACTTCAAACCTACTAATCTATCTCACAAGTTCTGGTTACCAGGGATTTTAGTACATGTAAACTTAATTGATGCACATAAAATCACAGGGTAGAGGATTTAATTAGAGGGTGAAAATTTTTCTGTGCTGCTAGAAGAGCTTCATCATCTTACTTTTACAATTTTTTGTTGCACAAAATCTTACATAATATCAAAAAGTTAATTACTAGATCGAAGTTTGGATTTGATTCTTAATTTTGATCACCCCCTATTCTACGCCTCAGTGGACTATAGGAGTCTAAGGCGGTGTTTGGATTAGCTTATTCATAGGTACTTTTGGCTTTTAAGCACTTTTTTGGTTTTAGAGGTGTTTGGAAAAGTTGAAAAGTGCTTTTAAGCACTCACCTTTAGGCCAAAAAAGTTCAAAAATAAGCCAAAAGTAGGGCATCCCCTACTTATGGTTTTTAGCTTTTGACTTATAAGTTGCTTTTTATAAGCTTATCCAAACAGTGCACTAAAGTACTTCAAGTCTTTGCAGTTTTACCTAGTTATTATAAGATAAAAACCTGCATAAGATAGGGTTATTAAAAAATAAACTTGCATAAGATAGCTACCAGTTTCATTCAACATTAACCAAGTCTCTTGGGCAATCATGAACTCATGAATCACCACAAGACAACAGAACAAGACAAAAATATGGAGGATCACTAAAAGAAAAATTACAGGCCCGTCTACAGTGCTATGTGAAAACCCTTTTATTTTAATGACCCAGACATTCCCTGCAAAATTAGCTAGCCCAATCCCAGTTGGAGCACAAGTTCGAACTCATGACATACGCCTACCACGTATACCGCGCTATACTTCATTTATCGTTTGACCAAGGGCCAAGGCTTTGGGGGCAACTTATATTAAAACATGTAAGAGCATTTAACGGGGTAAAACATTCACCATAGAGGACAAATAAATCAAAACTTGATCAATTCAGTCATGTCCACAGACAACAGTCTCTTGCTTAATAGAAGTAACAACTCACATTGCGAGAAATAAGAGTTCTCATAAATCTAACAGCAGCAACTACCAGGTACTTCTCTTTTCTTCGAGTAAGAAACAGAACTTTATCTATCACATTATTAAGAAGAAAGTTGCACCTGAAACACAGAAAAGATATCCACATTAAATCAAATAATCAAATTTAGCATTTAAGAACCAAGTAATTCCATACCAAGATGAGAAGATTACTTTATTCTGTAAGGATGGTGCACGATACAAAAACATAGGAGATCACAAATATTTAGTAGTATTTCAGGCTTGACACTACTTTGCTTTCCAGTTCCTCCATCAAAACTCTCAGAGTTACTGACAGCTTGGGTGATACCATCCGTCGGGCAAGATGATGTTATAACATCAATGAGTTGACTTAGGTGCTTCTCGTAGAAGATTTCAACAATGTTCTCTTTCTGGAACAAAATTAAAAGAAAACAATAAAAACAAGACTTCAAAATAGTTGTTGAAATGTAAGAACAATAAGATAAGAGACCCTTTTGCTTATTTTTTATGTGTCGCGCACATTGTGCGGAAGGAAGGGGGGATCTTTGCAAAGCCAAGAACCCAAAAATTTCATTTCATAATAAGGGATCGTGAAACGTAAACTCCGAATCTCTGCATACTCTGATGCCATGTGGATTATGTGAACCACCTCATCAAAGACCTTATGCAATTAAAGAGGAGACACGTGCATTTTCTTGTTTTTTTCTCAAACAATAGCAATCGAATACTTCAAAAAGCAATTAAGTCACAAAAAAAACTAATCCCCATCCCAAAGCACAAGGGAATTAAATTGGAGATACTTTGTTTTTCGATAACCGGAAAATCTGTTGCTTCTAGTTTTGAAACTAGGTGGACAATGGGTAGACTCCTTTAACCTTTTCCATTTAACTACCAAACTTGATCCAGAGCAGGATTAAAGCTCATTGCGTGTGCCTGCCACATATCCTGTGTTGTGCTACCTTTGCCCTTGAACCGAAGCCCTGGGTAATCAAGTTTGCAGATGCTGAACCGCCTAAAATAGTAGTGCCTCCACAGGCAGATACTAAACCACCTATAGCAGTAATGCCTCTACAAGTTCAAATTACCCATAGGAATATCTTTAGAACTTCAGAAAGGAGAGAAAATATGGTACCAAAACGAGTTTCTTCCCCCCAGTGTCTACTGATTCCGTCTTCCTCTATAATCCAATCCTTAATCCTAACCCCCCCCCCTACATTTGCAAACAAGCACTAGACAACAACAACAATGTCCCCTGTGTAATCCCACAAAGTGACAAAGTGAGGTCTGGGAGGGTGGTGTATGCACAGCCTAACCCCTACCTTGTGGAGGTAGAGAGGTTTCCGATAGAACCTCAGCTCAAGTACCACACATCAAAATCAAGAAAAGGAAATACAGTAATGAAGAAACCATAGAGAAAATAATGGAGAAAAGAACAGTAGCAACAACAAATAATACGATAACCGAAGCATAGGAAACAACAAGTATAAATAAAATTGAAGCATAGGGTAGTAGGAGAGTACTAATAATAATACTAATAAGGGACCTACTAACCTTCTACCATAATCCTTGACTTCCATATCCTCCTATCTAGAGTCATGTTCTCGGTAAGCTACATGTGTGCCATGTCAACTAATCACCTCTCCCTAATTCTTTTTCGGCCTACATCTACCTCTCCTAATACCCACCATAGCTATCTCCTCACTGGGGCATTGCGCGTCTCCTCTACCCATGCTCAAACCATCTCAGCCTTGCCTCCTCATCTTGTCCACCACGGAGGCCACACCCACCTTGTCCCAAATATCTTCGTTCCGAATCCTATCTCTCCTAATATGACCACACATACATCTAGGGAACAAGCAGTAGACGTGATCAGAATATTGTAAGGCAGTAACTCCACTTAGACAGGTCAGATATTATCAGTATCTAGGGAACAAGCAGTAGACGTGATCAGAATATTGTAAGGCAGTATCTCCACTTAGACAGGTCAGATATTATCAGGTAACAAACAACAACAAACAGTGTAATCCCACAAGTGGAGGTCAGATATTATCAGTTCGAAATAGAATTTGTTAAAGATCACTCACCATCACTATACTTGGGAAGACATAAGAGACAAAATGCTAGATCCACAAGGAAAAAAGCACATTGAACATTATGTTCGAAGTGCCAACCCCGTCATTAACTTGACTACCCAGATTTTTTTGGACAAGGTACTAAAATTTAACTACCCTGAAAAAAGAAAAAGCTAGAACTGTTGTGGCAAAACCAGAAAAGCTATAAGCAAAGCACCTGTGATCCTGATGCATATGAATCCAAGAGACTGCGCAGAATTTCAAGAAATTGGCAATGCATATCATCCTCAAAATCTGTTAGCATACCTTTGACCTGCAAATTTGAAGCATGCTATTACTTACTTCGAGTACCTTCCATGGTGGCACTAAAATTAACAAATATGGTCTAAGCCACAAAAAGGACATGTCTTTCTGCTAAAATTACAAAAATATCCAGCATAGGAAACAGAAAACATCAAAAAAATGAGAAATGGAAGAAAGACCAAATACTTCTCCAACACCATTTGATCGTAACATAAAGCCAAGAAAAAAGAAGATGTGTACTAAAATTAACAAATATGGTCTAAGCCACTACAAGGACTTGTCTTTCTGCTAGAATTACAAAAACATACAGCATAAGGAAACAGGAAATGTCCAAAAGATGAGAAATGGAGGAGAGACCAACCACTTATCCAATTATTTATATCATGAATCAAGCACCACATTCACAGCATAGAATAACTGACCATTCATACATGACAGAAGATGCCTCAGAAGAACATGTTGGAGGGGGCAGGCATTAGATATCAAAACGCATATATTGAAGCACATCATTGCAAAAATAAATAAATATTACATGAATGAATGCTTCTTAAGAGAAGGTAACCAACAGCCAGAGTCACACTGATATACTGGATATTCCATTAGTCTCCACCATCAGGCAAAAGTTGATGTAAAATTCTAAGGAAAAGAAGAGAAGAAAAAAACAAAATTTTGCTCACCAGAAGCCCAAACAGTGCAAGACCTTCCTGGCGAATTACATAAGACCGCAGAAGATTTGGATCTTGATTCAAGAAAAGAATGAGGATGTCTGTCCTGCATCAGTTAGAATCATTTTGGATGAGAATTTCAGGGAAGCAAAAACTACAATCATTTAAAAAGACGAAAGGAAAAGGAAAAGAGTCTACTTGCTAAAATATAACGATATGGTCCATTACCCCGTCAGGACTAGCTTCTTGTCTTGGCTCTCCAAAACATCAGCTATGATATCGAATATGCCTTCGTTAATAAGATCCCTGCAACCATAATAGTATTTGCAGTTCTATCAGCTCCATTTGCTATGAAAGCAACATAAGATATATTAGACTGATATTAATACAAAAGATGCAGCATGTGACACATACCTAAATAGACGATGTTGCTGGCCCACCTGCAAACTCTTACTCAAAGTACAAAACTCATGCAAAAAGTGCACCTGCCCAATCCAAGAAAAGGAAATAACAAGTAAAGTAATGATGAGAATACAAATATCCTTTCCCAGATCTCCCGATAAACATCAGAATAAGGAACAAAAAAGTAAAAGGTGATAATACTACCAGCATTTCAAGAATAACTGACAAAGGAGTGCACTATAAAGGAATATCATTAGCGCAAGAACATGCCAAATGTTAGGAACAGGTTTTTGGATTCATAGTGAAACAAATGACAATAATTGTTAGCACATCCACAGAACAAACTGGACTACAGGAAAGTAGCATCAGTAGTAAAACTAATGTTAAACAGACGCAAGGATATATAAGTTTACCAATTGCACTCCCACCTAAGCACAAGGTTTTCCTACATTTCCATTAAACAAATTTTATATCTGACAAGATGAGTAATAAGAGGGGAGAGGATCTTGACACAATCAGATCCCTAGAGGAAAGGGTGGAGCTCGATTTTTTGTCAAAAAAAAAGGGTGGAGCTCAAGTACTTCTCACCAGTTGGCTTAATAATAAAATTTTACTTTCAGTTGTCAAAATAAATTTTCACCAGTTGATTCTAGATGCCAAATCTAGCCTACACAGAATTATTAATCCATAGGTTGAAGGAGACGATCCTGGATTCTACTCAGATTCCTCCCCAGCTTGTATTAGAACTCATAACCATAATGCTGGTCAGGACCAGGATGCACAAAACACACGCACCGTTTACATTTAAAAATATATGGATTTTTGCATAATATTAGGGGGTTTGGGGGTTGGGATAATCAATTACCCTCAAGTTTCGGCGTTGACCAATTCAAATTTAATGAGAAAACAGCAAGCAAACAAAATATAAGAGAATGACCAACCAAAACAAAAAATAGATGAGTCCAATGACTAAACGAACAAGCAATTATCAGAAGCTGACAACATAATGAACAATTAAATGTCTTCTGAGAAAAAAGAAAAAGAAACCAACTAATAGCTGCAATGCAACAGAGTCAACCCAAAATAAAGAGGAAACAACAATTTTCTTTACCAAATTTTTCTTTGATTCTGCAGATGTAGAAGGCAACTTTAACTTTCCAAGCAAATCCTGAATGAAGGTGCTATCATCTTTTAAGAGAGATACCACCTATATCAAAACCAAACGGTCAAGAACTATATTAACCAGAAGAAACAACATTTTAACTTCAGGAAGAAAATCTTACAACTGCATTGTTTGAATGGATTATGGAATTAAGGTTTGCAACTATTGCATCATCCAACACTCTAGGCAAAATGGCATCCTGAAAGTAAGCCCACAAACTGTAAGTTACATTGATAGTATAAGGATGTCATCTAAAAAGTAAAAAAACATAATCACCTTAAGATAGCCAACTCGGTATGTTTGATGTATCTTCGATAGGACTATCGAATCTTTAATAGATATAGCCTAACACACCCACAAGGAAATAACAGATATCAATAAATGCAAACTGAACTAACATTGAAGACATTTCAGCAAACATTCCTTAGAGGTACTATTGCAGCAGGAAGAAAAGGAGTAGAAAAGAAACAGTGTACCTCCTTAAAGACCACATGCTCTTTGAGAAAATTGCGATGATGAACATGAGGAGCATCTGGATCATCTGTTGTCCAAAATATGAATCAGGTCGTCAGGACATTCCAAAATGAGATCAATGTCTTCAGAGTAAGGGGTTGGAGTAAGGGGTTGGCCATTCAGTATATAATAATTAAACAAAGAGTTCTATAGGAATTAAAAAAAGACATTTTAACTAAAAGTTGAAAGCAATAGGATCAAAAACGTACATTCAAGACACCCAATAATATCTATTATCAGCTCATCACCAAATATTTTTTCAAAGATCTGAGTGCTATTGAGCATCACTGCAAGAAACCATTTCATGCTGATTAATTAAATCCCACAAAACAAGCCAAAGCATACCCAAAAGAAAATGGGAGACAAGTAGGAAATACTAACTGATTCCTCTCACTATTTTGAAAATAATGTGAAGATTCTCAATATTCTCCAGATCTTCGGAAATCCTAAATAAATCCATCAGCTTACAGAAAAAAACTTGCTGCAGAACAAAAGAACCCGGCTCAGTACGATTCACCCATTGATCCGGAAAACAAGAAGACAAATGATTAAACAAGTAATTTTTAACATGAACAGAAATCAATAAAAAAGCGAAACACTTGTCTTGTTTCGCCCTTTTTGGGATAGGAGTAGGGAGGGCTCCTCTCCCGTTTTTCTCGTCTTATATATAGCGTCAGAAACTCCTCGAGAGTTCACCACTAACTTGAATAGAATACTGCACTTTGCATAAAGAATTTTCACAAACAGTACAAAAGAGTCGTCATTTCCAACTATTCCAAGACTTGTAAAAGGATGAAGGAGGCATGCAAGGAGACAGCAGTGACTGAAGATCTTTCAGAGTTTTGCCAGCAACAGAAAAATCTTTACACATCCAGAGCGAGTAGTGGACCCATGTTGAGCTACCAGCTGGCCCAGATTGTTTTCAGTTTGATAGGAAAAGAGCCAAAGTGGTGAAAACCAGGAGGGGTGAAGAGGGGTGGGGGAAGGACACTGGCAGTACAGAGTACTAACCTGTACATATAGCCACCACTTTAAAGGCAGAGAAAAGTTTACTATACCAATCAAAATTTTACATCTAACTTACCCAAAACAAAGTTATAATCAGCTGATGGTTCAGTTCCATTTTTTCTAACTTATCTATAACAGATAATCGAGTTCTCATCCAGTTTTTGTTAATGTACTTGATAATTGCTTCAAAAAGGTGAAGACTGGACATCTATGTTTTCAAGTGGGTAATGAATACGACAGCAATTAATTCTGAAGCTGACATGCTCGAAGCAATTTCACAACCATCACTAATCTTCGATTTCTTTGTTAGGAGGAAGATATTACTAATGCTAATTTGAGGTCATGAAATCCCTCATTCCAATGACAATTAATTGTCCAAAAAGAAGTCAAGCTTAGAGAACTGCAAGATTCATGAAGCTCACATCGTTCAATATTAGTTCGGTAACACGCAACTGATCAGCAATGCCACCCTCTACAACCGTCTGCAAGTCAAACAATTAACAACATTTTCAGAAAACAGTAAACAGTATGAAAAGATTTGCACGACTCGAAGTGTATTGCCTTCACACACAAAAGCAAACAGAATATACGCTATACCTTTTAATTTTTACATGCTTTTTTTTTTGCACCCAAGGGTGTGGTCAATGAAGTGGTTGAGAACCCTAAGGTCTCAGATTAAAAACTCAGCAGAGACAAGAAAAAAAACTAGGTGATTCTTCCCATTTGTCCTAGCCTTGGTGGACAGAGTTACCTTGGTACATGTTGCTAGTGGGATGTATCCTGTGGTATTAGTCAAGGTGTGTGAAAGCTGGCCCGGACACCACGGTCATCAAAAAAGAATTAAATGTTTTTTTGGTTAGTATTGAGAAAGCAATCCCCACCCCCGCCCGTTGATTACTAAGGCACACCCTCAAGTGCAACTTAGAGATTTGATAATTATCAAGGCAATATAAGAAAAAGACATTTCAACTATTTTAAGATAATAAATGTTGAAAGGATGACAAAGATAAACCTTTAATATCAAGGGAAGCGTAGAAAGCTCAACGGGGGGTAACTCCTTCAAATCACTGTTGACACTATGAAATGTCTCATCTGAAAATAGTAAAAGAAAAGAAGAAGAGAAACAAATAAGTCATGCACATAAAACCTTTTTCCCAACAGGTATGAAAAAATTAGTCAACAAAAATATCAACAGTTATTTGTAAGCACAAGAGAGCCCAATGATAGGTGTCCCAGAAGTAGGAGAGAAACTGTGTGGACCTATTTTTGTAAAAGACAGCAATTTATTCTTTCCTTGTCATCATCCTTCTAAATTTTACTCTTCTTTTCCAAAAACACTCAAGACTACACCATGTGTTATCATGTGACTCATGTCTCTCCACTGGAGGATCTCTGCTAAAGGTGGACAACAGAACATACCCTCAAAACCCCCATTTGTCAGTTAATTGAAAATGTCGAAATGAAATGTGAACTTGAGAAACAGACTTGGTAATATCTCTGGAAGCTAATTTCTATATTTTGTAATTAAGCAGGAGTACAATATCAATACATATAAAGTTAAAAGTGATCCTTGACAATTAACACTTCACCAAGAAAATAAGAACAAAGGAAGAACTCTACCAGTCAAACAACAAAATACACATAATAAATCATTACAGATTTATATATCTTAGCTTCACGCCTAAGCAATAGAGTATATCTGTATAGAACACAAGTATACAAGAAGTATACCAAAAAGTAGAAAAGCTTACAAAAAGATATGTCTTTCTATGAATGGCACCTATTTTTTTTATTTTTAAGTTTAAATACCGAGAAATCCATCTAGAGCACAACCCTTAAGACAAACACAACCTTCAAAACTCGAGAGATGATGGGCACACCCCTCCACCCTTCTCCATTTAAATACTAGGCTTAGTCTTCGCATAAGGCTTGACCCCGTGACCTAAGCCACAATCTCCCTCAACCTTTGCCAAGTGAGCTAAGCTGTGCAGGGCAACTTACATTTAATCTTCTATACCTACAGCAACCTCGTGGGTGCACCAAAAGGAAATAAAGAATAAGAAGCTATTTCTCAAGTGTAAAAAATCCATCTCTATTCCATCAAAAGCTCTTATATTTTTCTCTCCCCATATAGTACATATAAGTATTAGTGAAGTAACATCACATGCCCTGCATCTTCTCGTTTGTCTAGGACAAGTCTAGCTAAACAATACTTTTTTGAAGGAGAATTGCTATAGCATGCTATTTCTCAATGCATCCAGAGGATTGCGGTGAAGCAACCCAATATCGTCAATAACACATCTCGTTTGACTCTGCCTAAAATCATCAATAATGCGCCTTAGATAAACTAATTTTGGTACCCAGCATCAAAATTTATACACATCATGACAATAGCAATTAAGTGTTTAATAATAGCAACTGAATTATTCATCGGGAAACCTTTTCATGCTAAATCATGATAATTGCAATTGAGTTTTACATTTCCTGTTTGGCTATTGAACCACATAATGCTAACCCAAGTAGATTAATCTCATTTCATTTTGATTAATTGGAGAAAAATAGACCGAAACTTTTCAATGTACACACTGCATATATCCTCATGGGGCCAGAAATATGACTATTCCCACGTGAGTACTATATTCACAGACAAACTTTTGAAACTCAGCATCATGGGAACTCAATAATGTTCCATTTGTCAAGTGTACAAAAAGATTACTCTATGGACTCACTGTTAAGACTACTGAAGTGCATGTTCCTTTGCACGCTACATATATGGTCCCTACAAAAAACAAAAACAAAAAAAAGACAAGATGTTATCTGCTGGTGTTTCTAACAGCTTCTATAAAATCTAAGCAACCTTATTAATACAAATAGATTAAGGATGGTAGTATAACCAAGAAAAGAGGAGATAAAATACAAAATCAATTTCCAAAAACTTGCCATATATAGGAGCAACCAGTCGTCTCTTGAAAGCTAAGAGCTAGTTCAGTTGAATACTCCGGATCCCTCCAAGATATAATTGTATCTGAATAGAAGAACATGGTTTCTCATGAAACTGTACACTAACATAACAGAAGTAATAAACAGGAAGAAAGGAGACAAAACTATGGAGCTGGAGGACACCTTCTTGCTTCCGATAGATATCATCTGCACTGATACGGTGCAGAAGCAAAGTCTCATGATCTTCTTCATCAGCTACTAGCAATCCTAGATCTTCTGACCTCTGCATTGACATCCACAATCAGATGCAATAAAAATCAACCCCTCCCAATCAGTGCAAATGACACGTTATTTGTCGACACAAACAAAATGGCATAAGCTGAACATCAATATTCCACGAACACTTACCTCTATATAATCTACAGTAACATGACCTGTTCCTTGATCATCCCATTTCCCATCGTCATTCAGGCGATAGACCTTTACACGCTGCAGTGCAGATGAGACAAAGGTTAATATTACAGAATTGATGTAATACAAGAACAGAATAACGACCAACAGCAAAGCTAAACATATTAGCAGGTAAAGCTGCTTAAAGCTCCTCAGCCTGTAAATAAATCATAGTTGAGACACGGCAGGAAGTTTCTTCTTTCTTAGAGGTTTGTGTTTGTGTGTGTGTGTGTGTGTGTGGGGGGGGGGGGGGGGGGGGGGTTCTAAACAAAATATACAGAGATAGAGCTACAAGAATGTAGAAGGAATATCTACATTGGTCTCCAGAAAGGCGCACAGAACAAAAGATGCTACAAACTACACAAATATTCCAATCCTTCCTGCACACCTGAATTGGAGACAATATTTCAGCTGAGAACGACAAACCAAACTTAGTTCCCTCGTGTAATGAATTTGCACCTTATAAAAAATAACGGGTAGCCTAATCGTGCCTTAATTAACTGTAGTACATCTTTTATTTTAATAAAAGAGACATCACATATCTTTTTTTTTCTGCAGAAAACTGGATAGAGTTTAATACCCAAAAAAAAAAAAAAAATCCCTTTTGAGAAAAGGTAATTGTAGTTTAATGCCCAATCTCACATCCAACAGAATACAATTACTCCCTCCACGACAAGTATCAGATGGTCAAGTTACTGGTATAAGAATAGGAAATGCAATAACCATCTATATTTTCAAATGACCTAACCAGGAAATATCCTACATCAGCATAAGGTCACCTCTACTGTCATGTCGACTGATACACAAAGAAATTTTACCATTCTAACAAACTCTACACTAAATGTGGCTCTTGATATCAATCTGTTGATCAACAAACATGTCACAATTCCAATACAACTAGAGTAAGCTATGAAGATCCACAATATCCATTTGCTCATTCCAATGCTAAATAAAATGCCTCAAAGACAAATTAGGCTCCCTAAATGAATCTTAACTATTTGGTACCACCTTTAAATATTCTTTAAAACATGATATTCTATTCTTAGCTACTGTTGCAAGTCAAGAGCAGAAGCAGACGGAGAATCATAACAACCAGCATATGGTGGACTATTTGGAGGGAAAGAAATCCTAGGTGTTAGAAAAAATAGAGAATAGTATACACACACACACACACACACACATATATATATATACATATATACATATATACACACACACACAGAGTTACAATTTTCCAAAAAATAAAATAGCATGTTTGCCAAAGCTACTGGGAAACCCAAAGTGCTTATTTTATTTAGAAATGTTTTTGAGTAGTAGCAGAAGTTGTTTTTCAGAAGCTAAAAAAGTTTTTTTTCCCTGAAACACTTTTGAAACCTTGACCAAGCACAAATTGTAGATCTAATATTGGCCAAAGGATTTGAAAAGACTTCCCAAATGAAATTTCCAGACACAAACTGCTATTTTTTTTATGAAGTTAGGCATATAAATAACAAAAGCATCGAGGAAATGCGTAGGTTACAAAATAAAGGAAGAACAATCTGTCAAAAGACAAGGGAGCTGATAAATTCCGTAAAAGAGTATGGACGATTCTCACTTGATCGGAAAAAATAGTCAAGGCTATTCTCCAAAAGCCTTTTTACTGCAAAAGCACTTCTGACAAAAAAGCACTTCTCAAAATAAGCAGATTATGGAAGCTTTATAAACAGGATTAAGTCTTCATTAATTCTGAGAGGTTTTAGGCATTTTGAGGGAACTTCCAATGTGTGATTATAGGTTTCTTCGCCTCCTTTTATTACTTTTTCTTAATAAGTAATGAAAAGTTCTCCTTTATTACCTTCAATCATCTTATTGTTAAACACCTACCAATCGGTGGATTTGGAAGTTTATGCAAGATAAGACCTAATAATCTCTAGCAATCTTCTCCAATTTCGTCCTCTATATTTGCTCTTTGCATCTTCTACCAGATCTAAACAATTTTCATATTATTTTTTGATAAATAAATAGAGCACAAAAATTCATGTCGCCGAAAATGGATCATTTCTAATATGTCCAATCTTGTATTATCGTAAACCATCTCTTCATTATACAGAAGAAAATATTATTAATGTACAAGGACAAGCACTAAACTAATGTTGGACATAACAAAATGAGAGGCCCATATATACAAAATACAAATACAAATCATATGACATTCATCGTGTGGACACATTAAGCCTCGGACACCCACATTTACACCCATATGTCATTGTTGTTTCCATATAATCGTGTTGGTCTCATAACAGCTTTATAAATTTGCATAAAATGTTGTTATGTATCATCTTCTTTTTTGAGAATGATATGCTGCTGGGTAACTTTTGGTCGTATAGTAGTCTTGTAATACTCCATTTTTCAACCATATTTTTTAAATGACCGTGGTGTCTGCCCAGCTTTCACGCACCTCGACCCATTTCAACCATATTATTCTAATTCAATGTGTTACATCTTCATCTATGATCCATCACATCATTCTTCCGGAAGACTAAAGCCCACACATTTAGGTTGTCAGCATTTAGGCACAAACAATCCTAAATTATCTAATTCACGATCATTCTTCTTATCCAAAAACCCTTGCACAATAAAGTGCTTCTCACAACCAAACTTCCAGCCTACTCCCTCACATGTTAAACTTCAAACAATCTATCAAAGCTATACATCTCCACAAAAAACAACACAGCTAGCCAGACTTGTTCAATTTATGCCTTCGTTTATCCCAGACATTGTTTAACCTCACAAAAGGTGGAGGATGTTGCATATTGTGTGTCAATACAAAGACAAAATTGATTCTTTCTTTGAGCAGTGTATTAAGACAAAAATAGCTTTGTGATCTATCACATTAAGTTCGCTTTCTTGTTCCCTCAATAACATAACAAGATCCCTAATGAGACTGTACACAATTTTCAATTTTTTTTTCCACAAAAAATCCAGGGAAATACAAACTAACCATCAATGCCACCAACTCAGAAAGTCCCATGGTATGGGAAAATTTTCTCCTGACGCCTAACGAAAAAGTTGACTTTTAGATTCTAACATACAAATCAATAATGCAGGTCCACTTTCAGTAAGACTGATCAGTACCGAAACAACATAACTTAGTCTAATATCAACTGCGGAGGGATGAATATTATAGATAACAAAACCCATAAGAATTCAACAGGATACAAAGCAAACATAGAAGACGTAATATTCCACCTTGCCACAAGTACCTTCTGAAATGAAACTGAACCAAAACATAAATGCTAGAGTAGCACTGCAAAAAAAACCCAGCAAATATGATTTTTTGAGCTCAGCTACCTTCATCCAAATCCCCAAGACTTTGACATGTGTCCAAAAGTGAAATACTTTTTTGGTAACGGATATATTCTGAGACAGGTTATGTATTTCTAGCTCAAACGAAAAGACAACAACAAAAGCAAGTTCCCCTCGGACCCACTTCATAAATACTCATACCTAGAAATCCCCTAAACCAATGACTCAAAGTTTGAAATTCACTGTATAATTGGCTTTCTCCACGATAAAAGAAAAAAATTGACTCTAACTCAAAATATAGCCGGTACCAGGTCCCAAGTCCCAATAAAGAAGTTTCACAATACCTTAGCAGCCAAAATGCACAATACACAGTCAAATTCTAGTTAAATATCCAATTCCAGCTAGTTCAAAATTGAGACGTAATCAATTCCATGATAATTGATTTCAAAGGGAAAAAAAAAGCTAAATCAGTGTGACTTTAGTCTTTGGGGTTACAAAGCAAAGAAGCGTTTTTCGACTGATGAATTCTGTATTTCTAGCTCAAATGCGAAGACAATGACAAAAGCAAATCCCCCTCAACCAGTGGCTCATATTAAAATTCAGTGTATAATTGGCCCGCCCCTGTACTCCTCTCCACTTCATAAGCACGTTTATCATACTTCTTACCTCAATTTTCAAACCAAAAAAAAAAAAGTAACCTCACACTCAACCTACAGATGCAAAACATATCCTGTCCCAATAAAGGAGTTCCACCTTACCTTAACAGCTAACATAAAATAGTTAAACTAAAATCACATATACTTAAAATCTAGCTAGTTCGGAATTGAGACGTAATCAATTCTATATTAATTAATTTCAAACAAACAAACAAAAAAGGAGCTAAATCAGTGTGAATTCAGTCCTTAGGGTTATATAAAGCAAAAGGAACGATTTTTCCAATTGAACAATCAACAAAACTAACCTGCATCGGATTACTAGAGTTTGATGAATTCTCTTGAGCACCCATAGAAACTTCTAGAACCCAAATTTCACTGTGCCTGCTGTTTTCGGGAGAATGATTAAAATTAGGGTTTTTGAGTTGCAAAAAAAAAGGGGAAAGAGAGGAAGAGATAGAAATGAAGTATTTGAGGTTATTTTGGGTATAAATTCGGGATCAATTCAAAACCCTAACCGCCATTGATGAGTAGTGAATCTTCTCTCTTTCTCTCTCTTCTTTCTCTCTCTCTCTCTTCGTTTCTTTTTCTTCTGAAGTGTTCGTGCCTGACCTGACCTTTGGGAATACAGAAGCAGTACACTTGTTGATTGTACAAAATGACTTTAATGCCCTTAGATTGTGAGAAAAATATTGGAATTGCCACTGATGAAAAATAATTTATAAAATATTTATATTGAAAAAACTAAAATATATGTGCACCACTTTTTTAGAAGCTTTCGGCTTAGAAGTTTGTTCGGCCTTCTTTTTGACTCACCCTTTGTTATGGGCGTCAGATACACCGTCTTAGGATTTGGTGTGCTCGTTGAGGTTTTTCCACCATTGTAGTGAAAGAAAAACGACTATAAATCATATTTATTACGATTCAATCTCGTAGCATGTATTGTCTGTTTTGGTCGGATGAATCTCGCAAATTTGTCTATTAGACAATGTTATAGCCCAAAAGTGTGTGTACTTATGAACTTGTGGTACGCATTATCAAGTTATATATATGCACTTTCATCTCTCCTTCTGACGTGAGATTCACCTAAATTGTCATGTACATTGGTTTACCCTTCAATATAAGCATCTTACGATAGCAATTTTAGAACTTTTTATATTCAAATTCATGACATTGCCTACCTATTTGATCAAAGTGTCGTACTATTTAACAACAATAACATATTTATAGTCTCGCAAATGAAGTTTGAGGAGAAAGGTGTATTTGCCGTCTTTAATGATTAAATTCATACTTTATACTAGATATGATGACCATCATATTGCCACTTTGGTCTTTTCCTCGTGGGCCAAAAAGATTTGTCTATAAAAACAAAATATCTTGTATTGCTTAGTTGATTCTTTAGACATAAAAACATATTGGATCATCCTTAACAACTTAAAATATGGATGATATACACATGTGAAACAAATAAGGAAAACTAACCTTAACTAACTTTTGGAACACCATGAATTCATCATTATCAAAACTCAAAAAAGAAGATTTTTTTTTATTAGGTATGCAATAATAATCTGTAGTACTAAAAATCATATAAACTACTCCTCTTTGATAGTTTTTTGGCAAAGAAGGCTTAGTTGATAGATACTAATGTTCTTGATTTAAGCTTGTCAAAATTCACAACATATCCACTAAATTCCACAATGTAGAGTTCAAAGGGTAGAGTATACACAACTCTTATCACAATCTCAGAGAGGTAGTTTTTGAAATGACATTTAATAATGTTTTTCCTTTCATAAAGTTATAGCTGGATGAATAATAGACTTATCTCTTTGTGTTACCCACTCGAATGTTTCAGGTTGAAATACAAGTAAATACATATGAATACCAGGCAAAAGCAGGAAATCTAAACATGTCAAGTAGAGATATTGAGGAAGTACAACATTGTTTGAGAAGACCACAAAACCAGGGCATCTGTTGCAGCATGCAATTACATAAAGACACAATAACCAACTCCCTAAACTCAAACATGAAAAACATCAAGGTACCCGATAACCTGAACTCTTTAACTAACCAGAATGGATCTAAGAGACAATTTTTGCAACCCAACACGTTCATAAAGCAAATTGGAGTCGTGCAATCCAAAGTGACAATGGCATGATATAATATAAAGCAGACCATTCGCACAACACATTTCTTGTTGTATGGAATGGGAAAGTGAAAGACTCTAATAGAAAACATCAAATATTGGGCCACTGATTCATTCAGTTTCCATAGTAGGGAGAAATTGAAAGACTCCAACAGAAAACATAAAATGACCCATTCTCTTATTTTTATAACTAGTTTTTTGACACGTGTGCAGTAGAGGTGTGCATTCGATTTTTCGGTTTGGGTTTTTCGGTTTTTGGTTTGAAGAAGTGTAATCCAATCCGAACCAAAATAAATTTTGTTTGGTTTGGTTTTTCTCTTTTTGATTTGGGTTTTTTCGGTTCGGTTAATCGGTTATCTCAAAAATTAGAAACATAACAAAGTTATATTTGCAATTTGAAAATAATAATAATAATATATATATATATATATATAGGAATTAAGTTGGAGTTAACCACTTTTGTCCCTTTTTAGTTATTTTTTATGTTTGGACATCTATAATTGATATACTTTTAAGTATTGTGTTTTACATTTTACTTGTGATTTATATTAAAAAGTATATTTAAGAAATTCAATATGTATATATAAAATATAATTCGGTTTTCCGGATTTCATTTTTCTAAATTTGAAACCAAACCAAAAAATCAAACAAAGTAAATTATAAATCCAAAACCAAACCAAACAAAAAATCCAAAAAACCAATCCAAATTAGAATTCGGTTTGATTTGGTTTGGTTTTTTGATTTAATCCAAATAGTGCACACCCCTAGTGTGTAGTGGCGGCTCAAGCTAATTAGTGACCTAAAGCCAAAAATAAGTTGGAGGCCTAAATTTTGATTTTTTTTTATATTTGAGATTCAAGTTATTTCTTTATTTTTAATAAAAAAAGTTTTATTTTTTATGATTTTAAACTAAAGATATATATATATATACCAAAATATTTTTTAATCTTGTGATCTTAAACATATTATGTGAAAGTTAAATTTAAAAATTGATCCATAAAAAAGAAACATTCTTTAATGTTTCAAAACAAATTAAAACATTCTTTTTTTTTTTGGTTAAAAAAAGCTTAAGATAATTTTATTATTACTAAAAAAGTAGGTCATTCGATTTTGGGGGCCTAAGGCATCTGCCTCATTTTTAAAGGCATTGAGTCACCCTTGCACGTGTGTTGCACGTGATTACCAATTTCAAAAATATATGTTATAGTAAATACTATTGTTTATTTACGCAAAGATTTGAATAATAAGCTTAGTACAAAATAATATTACAGATTCTTTTGTGAATGTTCAATGTGGATCATCATATATATCTCTTATTCACGCGAACCTATGAAGATGGTCAATAAATTTTTTATTAGTTAAATGTAAAATGTTTATATTTATTTTAATTTGATTAGGTTAAATCATGTAATTAGTTGTATCTCACTAATATTACCTTATCGACGATATTTATTGTGTGTATAAAAAATAAACTAATACAAACTTCAACTAGTGTTATTACAAGTAATATGAACTTTTCTTCGTCTAAAATACTGAAATATTAAGAAATAGTTAATAAGTAAAACAAAAGGGCAATGTTCATATAGTATTAACTATTTTGAAGCAAACTTTCTACCAATTTAAATCACATAAGTAGCATTGATACAAAAAAGTCATTCTTTTTTCTTGAGCATCAAAAAACCAAATGGTGACAATTCTCTAAATTTTGGAAAAAGATATTTAGAAGCATATATCTACATCACACGAGAAATTATTAACAAAAACAAATAAATTTAGACTACATTATGTTAACTTCATATATTAGAACATTACATACTAATATATATATTAAGAAAAATAATTATTATATCATCAAAATTATTTTCCTCAAGTACTTGAGGTTATAGAATATACCCCTTACGATAGAACGACTTACTTCATCAAAATAGTGATACCTCATATTCCGCTAAACTTTTAACTCACTCAACGACAATAAATTACACAAAAAAATTTAAATACAAGAAGAAGAAGAGTAAAAGATTAAAAACAATTGTTGTTGAAAAATGAGAGGAAGCCTCTCTATTTATAGTCAACCAATGGTAGTATGAACAAATGTTTTTGAGTCTTATCTGAAAAGTCATGACCTTTTATGAGAAATCACCACCCTTTCGAAAAGTCACAATTCTTTGGAAAAGTCAAAACTCACCAAAAAATCACAACCCTTTGAGAAAAGTCACAACTTATCGAAAAAGTCACAACTCATATGAACAAATGTTTTTGTATCTTATCTGAAAAGTCGTGACCTTTTCGAGAAATCCCAACCCTTTGAAAAAGTCACAACTCTTTGGAAAAGTCACCACTCTGAAAGATGTGTGAAGTTCCATAAGATGGTAACAGAACGGAAATGGAAGCCCATACTTATATAACTCAATCTAACTTTCAACAAGTGCTATTTCTTTTGCACTAGTGAGATTATACTCACCAATCTGATTGGAGATTAGGACTCTCTCAAAGAGCCATACCCAACACTAACATAAATAGGATCTATATGTATCATTTCTCCAGTGCAGAGAAAACCTTAGGACGATAATTTTCAGCATGCATAGTTGGAGCTCACCAATGGATCACATAGCTTAAACTTAAGGAAGACAATTCACATATGCAGGAAAACAATTATCTCCAATAAGCAAATCCATAAACCAGATGACGTTTCACAAAAGACTATACATCAACAAATCAGATAACACTAGTTGGAGTCTGCTATGTGAATCCTCCAAATTGATTCAGCCTTCTTCAATCTTTCCCTTTTCAGTCCAACTAAATAATTGTATTTTAAGACCAACTAGAGATTTTCTAAATTATAATAACAAATGTTAAGGCTGAAAAACACACTGATTGCACAAATGACGAATTGCTAAATAAGCATAACATGAATTGCAAGGGTAGTGGCGTTAATGTAAACTGTTTCCATTGAAAGAGTAATAGATTAATAGTCAAAACAAGGTTGCATACCAACTCAAGTATCCACTACAAATACCAAAACATTAAACAAAGCTTCAACAAACTCAAAGATTGCCTGTCATAATGAATAGCTCATTACTATAACAATTCATTTACTTTTCAGCAGATTCAACAGTCTTCGGGTTGTGCTTCCTAGCATACCTCTGGTTCCTCAAAAACTTGGGATCCATCTGCATTTAACCACAAAAATAAAAAAATCACCAAACTAAGGTATAACAACAGATCAACTTTTTCTTTGTTACTTTGTTTCATAAGCAAATTCGTAGTCTTATATCAGCGGATATAGAATATCGCTACACCTACTATTACTCTGTGGCAGTGATAGCACTTAGTATAACCAAGTATTTTGCTTCAAAACTGCTCATATTTAATAATATGGTTTACATTTGCCCAATCTAATAACCTTTACATCTACATATCCAAATAGTTTGAAGTCTAAACGAGAATCAACTAAGAAAGAGAACAGATGTTTTTTTATTCATAAGAAAATTCATGAATCTATATCAGCAGATACAAATATTTTGACACCTACTATTACTTGTGCAGTGGCTTGTGCAGTGGTAGATCTTAGAATGACTGCATATTTTTGTTTTTTTATTAAAAAAAAAGGAGAAAAGATGTGTGGGGGTATCATAAGAAAATCCGTCAGAGTTTATATCATCAGATACACACCTAATACTACATGTAGCAGTGGTAGAACTTAGCATGACTACATATTTTGTTTTAAAACTGTTCATAATATATTAAAGGTCGACATTCACCGGATTAACAACCATACATCCACATATAAACTAAGGAGAAAAGATGAGATTCTTAATCATAAGCAAATCCGGGATTTCAAATATCTTTGCAACTACTATTGCTGTGTGGCAGTAATAGAACTAAGTATAACTACATCCTTTGATTAAGAAACTGTTCATATTATATAAATGGTCTACATTCGCCTGATTTCGTAACCTTACATCTGCATTTTAGCTCAAGATAGAAAAATCACCAAACTTCAGTATAACAACAAACACACTTTTTCTTTCATCACTTCTATCATAAGCAAAATAGCAAATCCATGGATATCTATATACCTACTATTAACATGTAAGGATATCTTTACACCTACTATTACTTTGAGGCAGTGGTAGAAACTGTCCACAGACATTTTGATTTTAAAACTGCTCATATTGTATATAGAGTCCCGTTCGCCCGATTAAGTTACCTTACATCTGCATTATACCACAAGATATAAAACTCACCAAACTTTAGTATTTTTTTATCTGCATTAATAGGTTTGAGATCACCAAACTTCAGTATAACAACAAAGGCACTTTTTCTTTCATCACTTCTATGTTCTATCATAAGCAAATCCATGGACATCTTTACACCTACTATTACTATTACATCATGGCAGTGTTAGAACTTAGAATAACAAACATATTTTGTTTCAGAAACTGTTCACACATACACACATTCATCAAATTGAATAACCTTAACATAACATATCCAAATAATTCTACTATCTCACGAAAATAAGCACAGAAAGGAGAAAAGTTGGGTTTTATAACAGACCCCTTTGGTGGAACTGTGACGATGCTTTCTGGGTTTCTTGATTCCATTCCTGTGTGCTTTGTAGGACTGATTATGAGCTGTGTGATTCTTCGACTTGGCCATTTCTTCTCAAAGTAACGGCAAAACACAAAAAAAAAAAAAACAATAATAAGGAAAAATCCGATGAAAAATCAGCTCAAAATTCTCAATTTTTTCGAGTGGGGTTAGGGTACCTGTTGCCGGCGATTAGGGATCTTACCAGTGAGGAAGAAAGTGAAAGAGGAGAATGAATTAGGGTTCTTATGGGTTTGAAACCCTAAAACTACGTGAAATGACGAAAATAGCCTTTGATTTGGTTTTGATGTAGTATGGGCCTAGATTGTTTTGTGTAATAGTCAATTTTTTCTCTTTGTGAAGTGTACACATAACTATTTAAAAACTAACCAAAGTATTTAAAGTTTAATCACTTCTTAATCAACTTTAGACTTGGGGAGTTTGAAGTTTAATAGGGTCGAGCAGAGCGGATCCAGGATTTCCATTAAAGGGGTTCGGAAAAAAAAATAGTGCCTAAGATTTGAATTTGAAACTTCAAGGTGAGTTTTGAATCCCTCAACTACTAAGTCAACCTCTAATTTTACATTCAAGAGGTTCAAAATCATAGACATAAAAGTTTTTTAAAATACCTTATACATACAATGTAATTTTTTGTCTAGGGGGTTCGGGTGAACCCCCTCAACTACCTCTAGGTCCGCCATTGGGGTCGAGGTTTGAAATTAGACTATGTCAAAGCCAACACATAAGATTTTGAATGTAGTTCAAATTTAATGCGTCAAGTTTTTAACTATCTAATAACCTTTTCACGAATAATTTCTTGAAATGATGTATACATTATACTTTTAAGATATCGTAGTCAATGTATGGGTAATTCAATAATATATCAACGAATTTATTAGATATATATAAAAAAAAAGTATTGTGTAAAATTGCAAAGGAGGAGCAATAATAATCATATTTGAAAATTTTAGAAACCGTCTATATTTTAAATGGTGTCATTATTATCTAAAGCTTTGAAGTGTTAAAAATTCAAACTCGTAGTCATGGATATGAAGTTTGTTCAAGTAATGTAAATTCTTATTTGGACATGTTAAGTTAAACAATTGTTTTTGATAGAAAAAAATATTTGTTTTCTTTGACATATTAAAGTGTTCTTAATGGGGATGCACATTCGTTGTTATTACTCTGGGGTCATGAAGCATAGATATTATACTCAATGGTGTCAAACTTTCGGTTATTCTACAATGTGTTGGTGTTGTTTTTTAGTAAGATACAATCTATCAACTCATTTATGGTTTATTTGATTTGTCATCATGTTTCTAAGTGATTTTCAACCAATAACGATAAATAAGTGATAAACCAATATCTTAATGGTTCTTAATGATTTAACATGTTTACAAAGCGATAAACTTCAAAACCGAACCAAATCGATTGATACACAACCATACAACAAACTATTAAGAAAATTTTAATCAAAACTCCCCCGTTCCTTTTTAATAAGTATTTATAGTATACATGACAATTAAAAAGGAACGGACGGAATAGTAACAGTAAATACATAATTTCTTTATATTCTACTTAGGTATTTTGCCGATCTGGTTATCTCTTTAATGTGTATATATATATATATATATATATATATATATATATCACCTTCATCAGCTTTTGGTTCTTCGTTTAATCTTGCCTCTTGCTGGAATTTGTTTCTTTTTTGTGCATCTTCGTTACGTTTTTGTAACTGAATTTGGGGGGTTTTGGTTCTTTTGCCTAAACCCAATGCTTTTGCCCTTGAAGCAGCCAAAATATATGAAATGCTTGTAAATTGTCCTCTTAGTCCATCTCAGTGTCAGGATTGAGAGTCCCTTCGTATTCCAGCTGCAATAAAAAAATAAAGTTGGTAAAATGTAGGTGATAAAAATACTCAAATATTGTATCCGATTGTATCTCACAAAATAGGGAAACGGCTCAAATATACTATCGAACTTTGGGAAAAGGCTTATTTATGTTCGATGATATATTTGAGTTCTTTCCCCTCACAATTACCGTTGCTTTATCATGTTCCAACTTCATCCTCCTATATTGTTCTTGTGCTTGTTTTGAACGAAACATGGCCTGAACTCGCACAACAGATCTTTCAATGCGCTCTTCAGCTTGTTTCCTACTGGCTTGGAAGAAATCCTCCTCCACATCATCTGGTTTAACTACTTGACTAGACTGGAGTTTAAGCCCGCGGAGACCTTTCCTCTTCAAACGCCACCGAAATAATGCCTTTTCAAGCACTCCTACTGACCAAGTTATCTTCCTGTACTGCCTTCGGACTTGGAAACCCCGGAACACAGCCTGCATTAAACCAGAAGCAAGTTCCACTAATTAAGGCTGTTGTCTACAGTAGTACACACATAATAACAGAGTTGTTTTTCCAAGAATCTTGAAATCCAGGAGCATCAAAAATCATATTCACAACGAGGAACCTTTTCAGGTTATCTGCTAGTATTCCATTATTTTCAGGAAAACAAAGGTTATAGTCCACGCTTCCAATTGCAGAACATGATGGCCCGCCTCAGTTTGGTGGGCAAAGTTGAAACACACTAATAAATTTAACTGATTATTTGAAATCAGTTTAAACTTCATGCCCTTTGATGCATGAGATGGATCATGTTATCCAGTTAGTTTTATGGGAAAGCCATAGAATATAGGGGGACTTACTTGAATTTTGATGGCCTGACGGCGCATGTGAAGAAACTCTCTCCTCATCTTCCAAGTTCGAAACCTATACTGTATTCGTGCAGCAGCTGCCAGTTGTTTCTGCATCTCATAGTTGCGGAAAGCATGCTGAATCTTCATAGCTGCAATTATATTACGTGCTTCCATTTCTGAATTTGAAGATTCGACTGCCTTTGTCCGCTCTTTCAGTGCACGCTCCCTGAAAGCAACCTGGATACGTGCAGCTGCATCTGCAGCTGTACGATAAGCTGCTAAACTGTCTTTCAGATTTAGCTCTTCCTCTGTGAAGTTCCCGGGGTTTATTGATTCAGTAGTCGTCTGGAGTGAACCACTGATATTTCCAGCTAATGTCATATCCTTAAATTGTGCAACTAAAGCCTTCTCAGCGAGATAAGCCCCCAAACCCTCATGACCATTTTTAGATGCAAGATCGGAAGCAGTACATCCACCAAGGTTTTCTGAAGTGGGATCTGTGACCAAATTTGGTTTTGCTCCAGCAGATAAAAGAGTTGCAACCATTTTTTCCCTGACAGTCCAAATGCTCAAAACTATTAACAACCTTACACTTGAAATGACCAAAACAATCGAAAATATATGCTCCATGTTAGTACTACTTTCTTTATCGCTGGTGCGAAGAAATGAGGTGAAAATGAGTCAGACAGGTTGGCGGACAGCAGTTCAACTTCAACACAACCAAGGGTGTAACGACTATTTTAAACAGTTAACATTTGCAAAAGAACCACAAATAGAAAAGAAAGAATTGAATGATTGATAATTGCAACATTCCAGAGCTGTAACTAAGGATACCTTCCATAATATGCAGCCCAATGGAGAGCTGTCCATCCATATTTGTCTCGGTAATCCAATGACAAACCGGACCAGGAAAACAGATATACAGCCCAAGTGTAACCTAGGATAGCACACAAATGGATAACTCCTTGACCTTGCTCGTCATGTTCTGAGATTTTACATCCTTCGACAACTCTTTCCAACAGCCATTCCTGTAATCTGGTTTTCAAAGAGAGCTCAAACAAGCAGTCTTTTGCACGTGGGACAGAGACTTTCTTGTCTTCAATCGATTTGATCAGACAGGCCCAATCATTAATGATGTGAGAACATTTTCCAGCAAATGTTTTTGCATCTTTCAGCAAATCTTGATGTATTTTACTGGATAGAATATTAAGGCTCTTAGATGTAGAGAACAGCAGATGAGCAAGCCTCATTTGATTTCTAAATTCATCCCAATCAGATTTACTCTCCGGGGGTTCTGTCCAAACTTGTACTGAAGGAGCTCGAAACTCAAAGCTCATGACTTGACTAATAGGTTTATTACCATCGAAACTTAAATATATGTTTACCAGTCCAGGGGTTTGAGGAGAAACTATGCAACGATATACCCCAGGTTGCAGAACTTCTGCAGGAAAACAAGCATCTCCACAAACACAATGCAAGCTAGAACTTTCCAGATGTGATTGTTCTCCATGAAATTGCCCAATGACAAAGATCTGTAATCATAGAGACAAAAGGTATAGTTGCTAGATCATAGCTCAAAATACATGTTTATCTTGACCTTCTTGACCATGGCAAAGAACTTGGGCAAACTATAAGAATAATATCTAAAAGTTTAAAGAGGTTAAAAAAAAATCACTTTGATAATTGAACATATCACATTCACAGAACAAGTCAATGGCCACAGTATGCTTACCTTTTTCTCCATTTTTTCCTGAAAAAGCTAACTGGTCCTAATTCTCAACCTAAAATGTTATGTCAGGTCAGGTCTAACAAAGCACTTATTTTCTTCTAAAGCAAAATGATATTGAACACATTTTTCTTGGTTCTTTAAAAATGGAAAAAGTAACACAAATACATGAAGAGTAATTAAGCTTCCTTTTTTTCTGATATTATCACTTGTGTTTTATAGAGTTTACTTAAAGCCAATATCATGACAGACAACATTTTTCTTCTTGCAAGGAGAACCATTGTATCAGCATAGCATGTGTGTGAAGAAAGGACCTTTGTTTCTTCAGTTGAAGAAGCCCACGCAGGTGATATTTCTGTTATGTTGAATGTCTGCTCCCTTGCATATGATTGACCTGTTGACACTGAAGATTCGGGAGTTGGATCGTCTGTGGATTCTGGAGAATCAGTAATAAGGTAGTTCATCCACCTTCCAAAGCTATCCTGAGTTTGAAGTCTATCCTGGTTCAGACTATCAAAGGAATCGCCTGTGCTTACTGTCATTACTCCAGACTCACTCTTCTCAAAACTTGGAGTCATTTGACCATCCACTGTCTGGAAGGTGATCTCATTTGAATTGTTGACTGTAGAAATTCTCTCAAGAGAAGAGGAGACACCCTACAAGTACCAAATATTAGTAGCCAACTAAAAGAAAGGGAAAAAAAGAAGATATTACCAAGCATCTTTCAGTTCAAACGAAAGAAAGATAAAACCAGAAGGAACAATTGCTAAGGATGGATTTAAAGCAGGAGTAAAACTTTGATCCTTAAATGATAACATAGATAGCATACACAACATGATCAGATCACATATACATGGTGTGTGAATGCATGAAATTAAATAACAAATGAACACTGCAAGGAATAAGTGGAAGATAATCTTATTCAAGTGTGCAAAATTGAAATTAAGAACACCATAACCTCAAAAAAAGTTGTGTTCAAGGGAGTAAGCAAATTACAGTACATCGTACATGTGAGTTGCTAAGTCTAGGAAGACATTGTTTTACTACTCTTGATTAGGTGTATCTCATTCCAAGTCACCACACTCCTACACCAAGATGATTACTCTAGCTTCTTATAGTATATAGTTGATTTTTTTTAATTTATTTTTCTCATGACAAGGGAAACCCACAGCCACTACCCTTTGGGTGCGCACAAGGTAAAACTCCCGCTCCTATGCAATAGCTCGCAAACCACATAGTATATAGTTGATTTTAAACTTCAATAAAACAGGATTTCTATTGGGTTTTTCCTTTTTGGTAATAACAATAAGATGGAAGTATTTCTCCTGCATGTTGGTGCAAAGCAAGATACTAAGAATTTCAATCTAAGTATCAAAATCAACTTGTCATTTTATTTGATCATAAATACATACAAGTAGTTCTACATAACTCTCTACTTCTGATTTCAAGGTATACACTAAGTTATTTAATCTCAGATGAAGAGAGTTTATTTTAGAAAATGAAGTAGAACATCTTTTGTAGAGCTTGCTCTCTGATGAACCATATTTCCTTAAAATGGCTCAAGGAGAAAGGTTCCTCCCTAAGATACTTTTACAACCACCAATGGAGAACTACAATTTTTTTCCAAATCAAAGAACACTACTTGTCTTTTCATTGATAGCATAAGATATGTGTAGATATAAATAGATCATAACAGCAACATAGAGAAGATAAAAATGATGAGAGAAAAATGTGAATTGGAGGACAGTTACACCAGTGAAGCAAGCTGCATATATCTACTCACATTGAGGCTGTAACCATTTAATTCACATAGATTCTGTTGCTCATACGACGTGTGCTGTACATAAGCAATTTTACTTCCTGCTGCAAAATAATGTAAAAACTTAATAAATAACTATTTTTATGAATGTAAATAATAAATAATGTCTATAAGGTACATCATATCATCAAGCATATACCTTGCTGGGTAGCAACTATCTTGTTGGGATCACCAGGTGCCAACAGATCATCCCATTCAAGTGTGTTAATCTCGAGTAGTCTCTGTTCATGATTTTGGACGGTCATATCCCTGTTAGGTTCTGTCAATCAGTAGAAGACAGGACTTTAATCTAGCCAATTTTGAATGAGCAAAAAAGATTTTGAACATATTCTGAGATTGCAATTAGGTCCAAGCTCTAGTAGCATAAACAGAATAGGACTACCATATTTTTGCACATACGTGAAACATCCTAAAAAAATTTAACTCAATTTTCATCAAGAGAATCTTTTCTATGCTTTTGTTTACAGCTATGGCTTTGACTGAAGATTAATCACCCACTTTTAACATCAATAGGAGGCTCAGTTCAAGCTATGGACACTTTCATTAATATAAAATGCAAAAAGATATCATTTCTACAAAGCTAATTTGATAGTACCTAAATGTGCATGTCGGCTAGCGGAATATTGCTGATCAACAGCTGAATCAAGTTCTCCTGATAAAACCCAAAAAGCAGACAGATCAGCAGGATCGGACAATGCCGAACCAGAACTAACTGGGGCAGCTGGAGAACCCTGTGCAACTGTACTGTTGGAGGAAACCTGTGATTGTACAGTGAACATAGCCAATAACTGTTTGTATTAACACACTGTTGGAGGAAACCTGTGATTGTACAGTGAACATAGGAAACAAACCTCTTGAGTTTCACGATAATGGACAAGGACTACATGTTCGAGAGTCCTGTGAAGCAGAGAAATTGACAAAATCATACTTCCATGGACACATCCTTTTTTGTGTAACTCCTATAGAAGCCATTAAGTTTTAACCAAAGAATAACAAGAAAGTGGGAAAATTTTTTGGGGACCTATGAACTAGAATTATTCATACTTGTCAAGTAGCCAGTAGCATCTTCGAACAAAGGTTGTGTTATCTTCTCCATGTGCATAGTATACGTGTATTCGTTCATCATTACCAACCTGCACTAAGAAACAGATTGAAATTCATCTTTCTGGAAGGATTCCAAACTATCCCTCAATCAAGAAAACTTCATATAGCATTTAGAAGAGTGCACATCCTGTTTAAGTGGAGAAGAGAACAGAAAAAAGCAAGGCAGAAGTAGAAATTTAAAAAACAAAAGTCCACCTCCCTTTTCCAGCTGAGAAACTTATTTCCTGAGCATCAACAAAGATTCACAACTTTTATGCACCAAAGTAGAATGACAACAGAAGCAATAACAGCAAAAAGAGTACTAAAAATAATAATAGAAAAAACAAGAACAACCAGTCTTCCAAAGATCATTCGTCCAAAGATTCTGTACAAAATGAAAAATCCAGGAAATGAAGTACCAAATGCACAACATCTCGTATAAGTATTGGGGTGCAGTGCAGGAAGCTTACCAGTTACATACCCGAGCCTATCACTTCAAGTCAAATATAACACGGAAGTGATTTAGCAGGAGATACAGTGGAAGTTCAAAATATGACTATCTAATTGGAGAACCCAGCGAAGACAAAAAACACTAGGTGATATATTTCCATCTGTGTAAGTCTTGATAGGCAGAGTAGGTGTTCGAAATAAGACTATCTAGACTAATTTACAGATAGAAACAAGGAATGGATGGCTTTTGAAATGACTATATGATAAGCAAATAGAACTTCTAGGAACTCTCCTTTAGCCAATATATGGCAGATCTATATATGCTATCAGAATTCAGTCATTATACGTCTAGCCTAGTCTATACAATCATTTTAGATGTTGAGGTGAAAAGAAAATTTGTCTTTTATGCTATATGCCTCCTAGAATGTCCAACCTAATCACAAAATTCTAGTTGGTCCATGCATAGTTTCCATATATTCCATAAAGAAAGCATCCTATATCGGTGCATCTTGTCTAACCACATTGAATTATGCACTAAAGAAGATAAGAATTGACAGGCCACCAAAAAAAATAAGCATCTCCATTAGAAAAACACAAAGCTAGTAAACAAACAATCACGCAAGAACACCATATTAAAGGCAGTTAAACCTCACTTTTAAGTGTTCATGAGCTTCTTTGACAGTTTTCCCATCCTTCTTTTTCTTCCAATTATGTCCATCTCTCCGGAAATTTCTGAGCATCTTACGATCAAACAACACAATTGTGCCACCTACGCATTGGAAATCAAAGAATATTAGATGAAATCCATGATACCTTCCGTGTCCTAAAAACATTTTTTCTTTCCCATGAAGAATTCATGTTCGGTTTCCTTTAACAATATATGGATTTCCGGAAAACAATCAAATCATTGCAATATCAAAACCATTAGAATCTCTTCATGCTCAGAATAAGGTTACTTTTAGGCAAGTTTACAGGCTTGACATTGATGTTGAAATACTTGTGGTTGCAAAGTATTGCATGAATCTCATTTGGTCGGAGCCACCTCATCTTCGATTCCTCCATTATGTTGGGAATATCCAAATCTGTGCAAGAACCAGAGAATAACAACTGTAGTCAGCTAAGTAGATCCAAAATATTAAGTCAAAGAAAATTCGTAATTACAAGCAACAAAGCAAAGAAAATCGAGGCCAGTGCTGATCTCAACATAGCATTTTTTGTTGCAGTACATTATAAGGTCACGTATCCATTATATGCAGTCGGGCTCTTCATTGCTCCAAATTGATTGGACCACTCGTTGAATGTCGAGCTTTCCTCTCTTTTGCGGTATACCAAAAAACAACTAGTACCAATTTAATCCCATTTTATCTTCGAACTGAACATAATCTCTTCTTTTACCATTATCAAGGATGGACTTCGATGGCATCAAACAAAGAAGATCAAATACCAAAGCAAAATATAACCGTCTAGCCCATCCCTTTTCTATCTGTGCTGCTAGACAGCTAGAGTTGAGATACGTCACCGGTTACAAGGTTGTTTGAACTTTATATCAAACACAGCATCCTTAATAAAGCACTCTCTTCCTATCAACTTGTTCCTAGGCATTAAGGTTACATGTTCTTTTGTGGGAAGTCGTTTTTGTATCTAATCAGCAGTTACGCCCCATAGTCAAGTAACTCAAGCAGCAGTACCTAATCATCGACCTCGTTACCTTCCTATCTAAGTTAAAGTAAGCATTTTCTTCAAAAGGATTGAATTTGCAATACAGAAGGAAAAGGAGATAGCAAAATAGCAATGTACAAAACAAGTGTAGCAATAAATATCAATACACATTGAAGAAAAAGAAACTATGCCACACCTAAATTATACTATTAGAAGAAGTACGTTCCTATCTAAGTTAAAATAAGCATTTTCCTCAAAAGGATTATATTTGCAATACAGAAAGAAAAAGATATAACAAAACAAGTGTAGCAACAGATATTAATACACATTGGAGAAAAAAAGAGTACCTAAATCATACTACTAGAAGTACAACAAATTACTACCTACAAACATTCTATCCTAATCATCAACCTCGCAGTGTACTAAACAAGTGTACCAATAGATATCAATACACATTCGAGGAAAAGAAACTACGTGATACCTAAACCATACTGCTAGAAGTGCAACAACATCAACTACCTACAAACATTCCGTCCTAATCATCGACCTTGCAATGTTCAAAACAATTGTAGCAATAAATATCAATATACATTGAAGAAAAAAAAAAACTACGCAATACCTTAACCATGCTACTAGAAGTGCTACAACATTCAACTACCTACAATCATTCTATCCTAATCCTCAACCTCAATAACTTCCTATCTAAGTTATAAGCATTTTTCTCGAAAAGGATTTAGATTTGCAATAAACAGGAGGGCATATATTTTTCGCTACGGAGATAAGATAGTACCTTGCATAGTGCGGAACCCATGAATTTCCCAACCTAACAGTCGTCCTGATACGCTACTTTCCATTGCAAAAACAGAACTCATAATCGAAGCAAAACTGCGTAATTGATCAATCAAAATCAATCCACCAAACTATGTATAAATTGAAAAGCGGATTGTGAGCGTTACGAAACTTGCTCAATGAACGAACAATCAACGTCTAATTATACATTGATTGAGCTTAAGATCTTCCATTAATGTGCACATCACTGGCGTTTTTTTGCCGGTCAAATTTGTAAGCCAATAGAAATAACCATACGTTACCTTTTCATTGGTCGATCGAGTCGGGTCGCATCGGTCTATTGACTCTTGTGTGGGTTGGATCGGGCCAATTGGAATTCTAACCCATATTTTTGTTGATGGCTGATGTGGATTTAGCGTATGCGTGTTGGTTTAGGTATCTATATTTTCTTTTTGTAGATATAATAACATGAATATGTCCTTTAATTTGGTTTCAACTGGTATTCATGTTATTTGATTTTGGATATGCACGAGTAGACACTTGATATGAAATTGAACAAGTAAATACGTATGTGTTATACGTGGCATTATACAAATCAATTGACACGTAAGATGAGTGCATCTCATATAAATTGTCATTGAGAACAGGTGTGTGTACTACTTGTTCACGTGCACGTGCAAAACTAGAGGACATAACTATAAGTTGAGGCTAGATCTATCGATATGGCTTATGCCTAGCCTAACTCATGATTCGGGACGGGACCTCGAGTATATCCCCCGCTATCCTGGACCGACAACTTCTCAGCTCCGGACAAAACTCAACTTTGTCGTCTTGTTCCTGGCCCAGCCCCTCCAATCTTGGCTCACAGATTCCGATCTTATCCCACTTACTAGTCTTAATCTCGTATTCTATTATTATTTTTTTGTGACTTATTATTTAAATTGTAGATGTGTGACAATATATAACGATGAAAACGATGGTGTATGTTATGTACATGAACATTTATTACTTAATATACTATTTTCACATTTAAAATTACTTAATCATTCTAAGTTTATTGTGATTTGATGTAATGTAGAATACAAATTCTTATTTGTTCGTTTGTGAATTTACGCATAGTTAAATGGGATAAAGATAAAGTAAACACTTGCCAAGTGGTGTCACTTGGACCACTTGTGATATACTCCCCTCTGTTCCTAATTACTTATCCACTTTTAAATTGATACATATATTAAGAAAATAATTAATGACATAGTGAGTTTACCATTTTACCCATATTAATTATGAAGTGGATGAAAAGTTCTACATTTTTCAAAATAATTAGTCATTTAATTGAGGGTATAATAGGTAAAAAGGATTTGTCCTTTTTTGATTTGTCAAAATGGACAAGTAATTAGGGACAACTATAAAAGGAAAAGTGGACAAGTAATTAGGGACATAGAGAGTATTAGACAATTATGTTTCCCAATTACTCCATTAAAATGGTGTGTTTGTTCATAATCTCTGCCTAATTAAATTCATGAAATTCATAATCTCTCATTTTCATCCATCATTATCTAATTAATAGTAGTAGTTAATAAGAATTAAATTCTGTTTCTGTTTTCATTTCTATCCCACATGAATGCTAGAATGTATCGCGATTATACATTGATTGGCATGATCTTATATTTACAGGCAAAGTTAGGAATTTCGTTAGATATTTAAAAATTATTAATATAATGTGTGTTTATATAGCTTGATCACTATTCATATTATGAACGTATAATAATAATAACTGATATATAACTATAACCTCTACAATAATCCCAATTCACATCCCTAATTCTATAGTAATATAACTTAATTATGATGTATATATATACTTAGACATCGGAGCCCGTGCTAACACAGGCCCAAAATGTATCATTTTTTGTTTCAATTTATGTGACAAAAATAAAATTAAAGAGTTAATCAAACTTTAATAATAATTTAAAATAGTTTAAATTTTTAATTATTGTTAACTATGGTAAAAAATTTTTTTATGTCTTTTAACATTCTAAATTGTTAATTATTGTTGTATAATTTGTAATATCTTTTACGCAATTTTGAAATAATAAAGGTTATTTCTTCTTTCTCAATTTATGTGGTACTAATAAAATTTCGAGATTCAATCAATTTTTTTTGTCTTTAAAATATTATATTGTTAATTACTTTAAATTATTGTACTTTCTAAGTAATTTTCAAATAATATATGTTATTTCATTTGTCCAATTTATGTGTCACCGGTAAAATTTGAAGAGTTAATCAGACATTTTACATATTTTTATGTCTTTTGAATATTTAAGTAGATAATTATTGTGATTTATAATATTTTATACAATTATTTTTAAAAAAATAAACAACAAACAAAACGAATTCATCATAGGAAAATTATCAAATCATCCTTGAATACATCAATAATGGGTCCCACTTTTTGTTAAAAAAAATATGCATATTGGGAGGATATTTTTGTCCAAAGTGGAAATAGAATAAGTATAAAGCATTAAAGTCTATTAAAATTTTAAATTGTTAATTCTTATTGTATGATTTGTAATACTTTTACGCCATTTTCAAATAATAGAGGTCATTTCTTCTTTCTCAATTTATGTAGTACTAAAATTTTTTTGAGATTCAATCAATTTTTTTTGTCTTTGAAATATTTATAGCTGTTAATTACTGTAATTTATAGTACTTTCTAAGAAATTTTCAAATAATATATATTATTTCATTTGTCCCAATTTATGTGTCACCGATAAAATTTGAAGAGTCAATCAGATTTTTAATATATTTTTATATCTTTTAAATATTTAAGTAATTAATTATCGTGATTCATAATATTTTATACAATTATTTAGTATAGTAAAATAAATTTAAAAGAAACAAACAAAACGAATACATCATAGGAAATTACCAAAGCATCCTTCAATACATCAATAATGGGTCCGACTTTTTGTTTTTAAGAAATTGCACATTCGAAGGATATTTTTGTCCAAAGTGGAAATATTGTGTAAAAAATGTGTATTTATTGTGATTTTGAATGTTTTGTGGGGTAATAGGACGCACGCAAAGTTAAGGTATATTTTTGAAAATCTGGGACAACTTCAAGTATCACTTAATGTTTTTTTCTCAAAATCTAATTTACTTTCGTAAACTACGTGTCAGATCAAAATCAGATTAACAAATTCAAAAGGAATGAGTAATAAATAGCTCATACAATGACATATTTATTATTTAAAAGAAGTACTCCTTTTGGTTGAAAGCTAACAAGATAGTTACAATGTAACTAAATACTATAAAAATCTTTGCATTGTGGCTTATTATATATATATACCTCATTTGATTACTTTATCGTAATAAATTGCTTCGTTCGAAAAAAATCCTTTTTTTATATTGTAAAACAAGTTATCAATACACGCTATTTAAGGACATAAAATCAATAATATTAAAAGATGTGTATCTTTTATATATATTTTATTGCTTACTTAATATATTCTCACTTAACCAGAGGGGTTGCTTAGATATTAGTCATTCATCATTTTCAATTCAAAGATGGTAAGTTTAAGTCCAAAAAAGAAAACCAAAAAAAAAAAACCTTTAAAGAAGGGATACAATATATTCTCATATTGATATGATTTAATATATATAATATTAAAAAGAAATTTCTTAAACATTAGTTTCAGGTAAATAAAAAAAACTAACATTTCTGTTAGAAATGAATAGATTACCAAAAAAAAAAGAAGATATATTGTGAGATAGAAGAGAATCTTCTATTTTCTTAACATAACTTTTGAGTTTAAATTACTAATTTTCCTTTTTAGTAAAATATTTTTTGCTTGATGAGTTTTGCATGTCATTCTAATCTGAATTAATTGTATCAATAAAATAGAAGAGATTCTTCTATATTTAATTATAAGTTTTGAATTTGAATTATTAATTTTCCTTTTTAGTAAAATATTTTTCACTTGATGAGTTTTCATGCCGTTTCAATATAAATTAATCAAATCAATCAGATAAAGGAGAATATTCTATATATAATTATAAGTTTTGAATTTTAATTATTAATTACTCTTTTTAATAAAATGTTTTTAGTTGATGAGTTTTTATGTGTCCCAATCTAAATTGATTGGATCAATGAAAAAAAGAATAATCTTTCCATTCTTAATTATAAGTTGTAAATTGAAATTATTATTTTATTTTTTTGTCTCAATTTATATGACTTCTTTTTTAAATCTATCCTAAAAATACTATATTTCTATATTTAGTAATAATTTAACTTTAAAAATATCAATTTCACTGCAAATAAAATGATTCTTATCTGACACATTTTAAACAATAAATTTTTAAAATATTTCTTTTATATGAAGTGAATTTAAATGAATAGAGTAATTTTCTTTCTTTTTATTGGGATAAGTAATAAGTATTTCTAGACTACGATCAAAATTTCAGAAATACATCTTAACTAAACTAAAATCATATTATTCATGAACCAATTTTTTTATAATTTTATACATCTTTTTTACTTACGTGACATTCGAATATCTCTCACGTGCCTCAACTACATGAATCACATATAAGCCAAAATGTACATAAATTTACAAAATAAATAAATTCAGAGTAATAGAATCATAATTTAGTTACGGTATATCTATGAGATATGATATCGCAATTATATTTATTTATATTTAAGATAAAAGGATAAGGAGGACAAACCTTCTATAATTAGAAGATATACTCTTATATAAATAGTTTTATTTTCCCTGGATTTGTGTAGAGACTCTGTTTTTTTTAGAGAGAGAAAGTGGGAGAGAGTGTGTATTTTTAGAGAGAGAGAAATGGCTCCGGAGAGAGATATTGATGATCTTCCCAGGAACAAGGCGAACTACACGGCGTTAACTCCGTTATGGTTTTTAGAGAGGGCGGCTACTGTGTTTCCTAATCGGAAATCGTTAATTCACGGCTCCGTTGAGTACACGTGGCACCAGACTTACCGGCGTTGCCGTCAATTAGCCTCTGCTTTAACTAAAAACTCCGTCACCTTTGGAAGCACAGTAAGTTTTCAGTTACTTTTTCTATTTTTTTACGTTCATCAAGTGTTTATATCGAATTAATATATACATGTACGTTCATGTATTTGTACATACACTTTTTTTTCGCATAATCATTACTCCTATCTCATAATCATGATTAATTAGTTTGGTTTGGTATAAACACATCGTGACTAACTTGATGATCATCAATAATT